GGAATCTGGAATGAACCTAAAAATGGCTGACCAGATTTAGGAAGGAGAAGAGGAATGGAGGGAAAGATGGCAAGTGAAGAGATGATAGCATTCATTAATCAAGGCAATAATGAACAAATATGGGAAAATAAAATGGAAATCAGTGTAACTAGGGAAAGAACATCACATTTCACTTCAATAAATACAATAATTTTCCTAAGCCGTCTACAAGGGATCTGGAAGAAAATCTGGGGGATTTAGTTATTCATAATTAAGCACTCACTCAGCAGGAAGCCTAGAATTAAAATTATAAGATTAAATAACACTGAATTTTCCTGATTCCTGAAAAATTAGCAGCAGATGGTAGTCAAACTTCTGAATCCAAAGATGTACGATCACAATGAATATGCAAAAGTAATAATAGTCTAATCCTATTTTGTTATCTTATGTCAAAAGATATCTATTAAGTGTCTCCCATGGGAAAGATATTCTTTTCAATAACTAGACACTTATTTCAAATATTCTGAGATCCTGTCAAAATACCACATAAAATTGTTCTTAATGTATCAGGCAAAACTGAGGCAGAAAAGCTGTGTATAAAAATTCAGATCTTTCATGTTAATAGTAGCCCAGGAGCCTGCCTCTATGGAAACCAAAATGTAATCTAACAGTAATCACTTGCTCGTATTTCTAGTTGTGTTCCTAATTCTTGCTTTTGTTTTGACAGAAGCAAAAGAAAACCGGCTACATAACATTATACAGATGGTAGAAGTCAGTCCTTCCAAACTGCCTAGCTCACACTTCTAATTTACTTCAAATGTGAGATAGTTCAAAATCATAACTTGTTCTATGACAACTGTACTCTGAACTCCTGCATTTAAGTAAATAACAACATCTGCTTAAACAATAAGGAAATCTATCTCTACCCATGAATATGGTAACTTGTCACACTTGTATTTCTGGAATCCCTAGGAATCACTCACCTGTACAGATCTGAATGTAGTAATGAAAGGCAACATGATATGATAGCCTGGTCCACTGGGGCTAGTTAGTAAAGCTCCTCCCCTGCAAAGAGATATTTCAATTTGACAAAATTATAAAGAGAAATTCTCTTTTCAAACCTAAAATGCTATAGGTCTTACTTTTCAAACCTAAAATGCTATAGAATCTTACTCGTGGCTAAGCTATTAAAGCCTCAGAGGAGTTACGCATGCCAACAAACCCAGCTTAAAATACCTACATAACTAAAACGGTTTTTAAAAAAAGTAAAATTAAAATTGCAATGTTACACCTTGTTTCATAAGCTTTACCATCCATACCTCTGGGTTTCCAGCACCACTCTCCGGTTCAAAGGATTTCCCTTTGATCTTTAGCCCTCTGAGAAATATTTGTGAAAAAATTCTAATGGCTCTTAGTTGAGGTACTTTAATTGTACATAACAAGAGGCAAATCAGAACCTAGAACAATTACATCACTAGGTTGAAAAAAAGAAGACAGCAACACAAACTTTCAAGGAATGAGGAAATTTCTAAGGCACATAATTCTGCAAGACAACTAAAATACTGGGAATATAAAGTTTCTGTATAAAAACAACAAAATTTTAGCATGGAAAGATAAACGGAGGGAAGGTTCAAACTATAAACAGGCAACATATGAACTTGTTCACTAAATTCTGGAATGTGAGAATTATGAAAGCACACACTGAAAACTATAAAAAAGAGGTATTTGGGGAGCAAACCTAACAAAGAAGTCCTAGGTTTGCAAAGAAGCCACAAAAATAAGAAAAGATGAACTGTTTGAGGTTCATCGATAATTCTCTGAAAGCTGTTTCTTGAAACATTCTCTCCTTTACTGACCGAAAGACAAAGCCAAACTGGATGAAAATCTGGACAAAGCTGTCATTTCTTATGCTAGAGTTCCATTTGCTAAGATATGCCATTAAATTGTACTTTTTTAAAAAAACAATTCAGGATGCATATAAAAGTAGAAATTCCAGTTTTAGGTGGATGATGAAAATATGCAAAAGGTTAAACCTCTTTTTGAATACACCACTGGCCCTATTTCTCCACAAATTGGTTTCTTTTACTAGTCTATATCAAAAGGAATTGGTGGTTATTATGCTTAAGGAAAAACTACTCCAGCTTAACTAGATGGCAACACAATTCATACATTTCTTTCCTTGATTTGARTGGGTAAGGAGTAGACCATCAGTGTTGGGCTTACATTCCTTGAGAACCAGGGACAAAACAACTGACATGGTCATAAAAGCTTATAAAACATAACCAATCACTGGAAGGTTTTTAATGGAAAAATAGAAAAAACATAAATAGGACGAGATTTCCTAAAGAGCATCTGGAGTGGCAAACTAAAAGCCTGTACAGATGTACCGATTACAAATGATTAATATATCTCTTCAGTTACAGTGACTACTTCCTTTCCTGAGGCTTAACCTCTGCACAACGCAAACACAACACTAAAACTGCCTAACACTTGGAGGGTGCTCCGCAAAATTCTGCTTCACCCCGTGCTTTCTCAAGGGTTATTAAAAAATCACTTCTCCGGATTGGGAAGTACTCCCAGGATGCTGCAGTGGCAACAACTTCCCAGATTCCACTCTGACGTAAGTACCGGGTCTGCTCTAGAACCTGGTGGAACGCACATGCTGCTCACCTGTAGTACACTGCCAGATGTCCTTCCTCGATCTTGTGGATGGAGGCGTAGAGGAGAACAACTACAAGCCCCACCACTGCAGCCACCAGAACCCGGGCTTGAGTCATATTCATCCTTGTTCCTCCTGGGTGAGGGAGGAAAGGACCCTCAGTCTGGAAGTAACAGGCTCGCCCCCTCTAATTTCCACCCTTTCCCTCCAGGAGACCTGGCACGCTTTCTCCATTTAAGACGGGGAGTCCCGGACCCCTTTCCCCTCATTCTGCTCTCCTCGCTTAGCAGGCGTTCCCCTAGTCAACCCCTCCGCCTAGGTGGCCCGCGGCCCGCCCCTGCGCGGTGAGCGTGGCAACCCTTCTCTCGACGGCCACTCCCCCGGAGGAAAGCACTAACTGCGAAGGGTCCCAAGCCGCAGGCTTCGGAGGAAGGCCGACCCCTCCGCCGCTCCTCACCGATCAGTGACGCATCGCCCCCGCCCGCACGTGCAGCCGCCTCCCGGGCAGCGCCAACCGCCGCCAACCACCGGTCCCGCCCACTCGCCGGCACTGCGGCTGCGCGAGGACGCACTCAGACGCAGCGCCCCTCCGTGACTAGCTAGACGGGGAGCAGGCGGGACAAAATTCTCCCAGCTTCTAGGCTGCGCAATGCCTGCGAAGGAGCGTCAGGTTCTTTTCCGTGTACTAATCAGCTGCTCTAGAAGATAAATTAGTAGTCTAGATAGCAGGGAGGAAGAAGAATGGAAAGGGCCACTCGAATAGGAGACTTCTCAGTTCGTTTGTTCTTTTGCAGAAAACCTACTTCCTCACTTTGAGTGCCGAGCTGTTCCTTTTTAATGTCCTTTGTGGTATGTGGCCACTTCTACTGTGTGGGGAAAGCACGTGGTTTTGGCTCAGATTCTGCATTTCAGGAGTAACCTGCTTGTTTCAAAGAAAGTCCTATTTAAGTTCAGACGAAGAAGCTATTCCGATCGAACTGCATCATTCACTCGCCAAGTTATTGTTTGAGTATTTTTTATGTGCTAGAATGCTGACTAGGGTTTTATGAAGGCCATAGAGAAAATAGGAATAAAATGGGCAAAGCATTTGCGGTGCTTGGGGACCTGTCCTCCAGGGAGACCAAAAAGAAGTGACTGAGTTTCCTTAACATCTTTTATGATAGGAAGGTGTGGTTTAGTAGGCTAGTCTAGGACAAGATCTAGAAAGAATAGAATGTATTGTCCTACTGATAGGGGGACTGGTTGGCTAACCAACAGAAATACTTTCTCCCCCCTGCATATTCTTCTGTTCTTCAAGAATTCTGCACCATGTACATATATTACCAAAAATAAAAAGGGGGAAAGGACAGGGTAAGGGTTTTAGTGAGGTGGATGAATACAAGGGAAATAAATAAGGACATCATATTTGAATAAGTTGGTGTAAGCCTTGAGAGGACAGTAGCCTGGCGTGGCCACATCTGCACAAGATAGACTAGAGTTGAAACTCCTAATCTCTTGGGCAGGGAAATAGAGGGACACAATATTTTAGAGCCAATGAATCTGCAAAATGGCTGAAAGTGGAGACAAAYTGGAGGCTGGGACCTTATGGGATTAGGAAACTACAGGTCCAAAGTTATAACAGTAGTTATTAGCAGTGGAAGTGAGAAAAGGTAAATAGAATGAGATTATTGTAGCTACTCCTTTTGATAAATACACTGACCTGTGCCATTCATTTGATTTTATTACCTAGAAATGTCTGGGATCTTGTCTGCTTCTAGATAAATGGTATTTGCAGAGCTTAGCTACTTTAACTTCCAAAAAAGCAAAATGAGTGAAAAACAATTTGCTCCAGCCCCTGTGTTTTGTGTATACATTTCTCTCAATTTGTCATAATATTGCTTAGACTAGAGTTCACAACTTTCATTCAACTTTGAAAAGTTATTACCCGGCAAAAGAGTAGTCCACACAACAAAGTAGTCCACGCAAGTTTGGAGTTATTTAACAGTCTGTTCTGACTAATAGCACCTGTCCAAACCAGGTAGATCAAGCTGTCTGGATAAGACCCTATCCACATATCAGCAAAATGGACCCCACCATGTAGCAAATCTTTACTCAATTATTAAAACGATATTTAGAAAATGAATGATTGCTGAAAAAAATTCTTGAACAATAGCCATCAATGTTCAGACTTCCAGGTGAGTATTTTTATTGAACTGCCTGTGTTGTTTCTGATCTTARTATCTAGCCTAATATCTTCTGAGCAACAGGTACTCAGTAATGTTTATTATTAAAACCTTCTAGAACTAGGGAAACAATAGAGACTATCTGTTATAATAGCTGGTAGGGATGGAATTACTATCTTTAGAGAAACAAAGAGAAACCACTATATTAAAGAAGTTGCCCAATATTTACCATACTTGATAGCCTATCACATAATTCTGTGCTCCAATTTTACTCCATGAACCTTCATATTTTCCCAAATTCCATATTCAACTGTTATGTTATAACCTGGTTCTTGTAATGAGTAGAAATTCAAAATGGAATTTAAAAATCATTTAATATACAAAGTGAAAAACTAAAATATAAAAGCATTTCACATTTTWAAAAACACATAATACCTTCTAAATTATTTAACAGAAGATAGAGATCCACATCCTTTATCTGAAAGCATTGGGGCCAGATGTTTCAGAATCATAAAATTTTCAGACTTTAGAAAGGAATTCAGTGCATATAACATACTACATTAACCCTCAAGAGTCTGTGACATAATTCCACTCCCCCAATAATCAAAAATCTTAATATTTCTGCAGCAAAATACATGAATATTCACACTAAATGGGATAAACAGATTCAATAACAGTTCAGATTAGATTTGAAAGCATATTAATTTTGTCACCAAACTTAAGAAAACCTTGTTTTCAAAGCTTCTTGGTTTTTGAAATTACAATTTCAGATAAGGGAATGTAGACCTTTATAAACTTGTATGACAAGACTTGATTGTTTAAACAACCCATTTTTACAAATGAAAAAAAAAACACATAAATTTTCAAATACATTATAAATTAACAGGTATGTCTTTGATATTATTAAATGTACATCTTAAATACATATACACATAGCACACAACATATTTTATCATTCAACTGGTATAAAGGCACAGATGCACAATCCCTTCTGTAAGAAGGGGACACTGTTAAAATATGTAGTAAAATTAAAAATGGGATCGAGCCAACTCCTTATGCCAGGAAGAGCACTTAGTGAGTGCAACACAAGGAAGTAAGGCTTATTATTCAAGAAGTAACTTGTGAACAGTTTCTTCCACAGAAACATAGGTATACACTTTTACTTAAAATGCATGTTCTATGTACAATACTATGGCCTTATACCTAAAAATTAAAACTTTAGAAGGTACTATTGTCAGTTAAACAAGTAATGTTTTACCAGATTTGAAGAAGCTCCAATGATGCTCCAAAGTAGCTATAGTACTAAAACAAACATCTAAATATGTCCAGTGACTTTTTAAAAAAATAAAATCCTGTTTGAAAGTTTACTTTATTCAAAAATCAGGATAGTGTGCTTGTAAAATCTTGATAGTTTTTGATCACAGTCATTGCTTCTACTGACTGGTGTGTGAAGAATAGTTTCATAGAGGAAAAACCAACTTCCAACATGTGCAGCAACAACTTCTATAGGTTTGAGGACAGTAAACAAGTAGCAAGTCATTCTGTTAGCCAGCTCCAATCAAGATTCTAAAACCAGGCATGAAAAAGTTAAAATTAAAAGTTGAGTATAAGTGATAAGTGCATGGATGTTCTTGAAGTTTTTTGTATGTTTGAATATTTTACAATCAAAGGTTAAAAAAGCAAAAACACAGAAATTACAAATTGTAGTTTAGCTTATCCTCATTTTTTGGTTATCTTAAAAAATATTTTAAAGACTTTTCATAAAAATTTGAGGCAAATAATCATTCTGATGAAAAAGTTGATATTGAGACTAAATGCTGTAAAAGTTAATTCAGTAAACATTTTATTGTAATTTATTCAAGTTTTAATGAATCAATATAGTAACCAAATCTTAATCTAGTTACTTTTATTAACTACAACTATCTTAACATAATTCATTTTATATGCAGCAGGGACTATATTAGAATTATAGTACAAGTCCCATCTTATTGGAGAAAATTGATTGCTGAACCATTCTATTTCAGTGATCACACTGCAAAGAAAGCTTAATTTGACCAAAATTGTTGATATTTACTGATGACATAATCCTAAGTATACCTCTGAGTAACAAAAATGGGGATTTGAGTTTGAGGATACTCCTCATATATTTTTCCCTCTGCTTCTATTCCCTACATGTATCCTGAATGCCACATAAGGCTAGCACAGAAACTTAAACCCTTTGTATCCAGCATACCTAAAATACACACCCATATTCACACAAAACTTACCATCATACTACTGCCCTGTTCCTTATTTACTTCACGAATAATAGTGCTTAAATGGCCAAGACAGTTCAAATTTTCTTCTATCATTTGTGCTAAAGTCTCCCTGTGGGATAAAAGAATAAAATATTTCAAATTCAGCAAAGGGGCATATGAATTCTACTTTCTGTTCTTCTAGGTCAGGAAGATCACTGCCCTTCCTGTAGCCCAGCACCCAAAGCAGCTGACTCCTATACTCTTTATAGTTTCTTCCCTCCCATCTAGGGCCAGAGTCTCTGCTGCCTGCGCCTAACTTTAATAATAAGTCCACTATAACTTCAATCATACTTTCCTCTGAAACATAAATAGTGCGCACGCACGCAAGCGCGCGCACACACACACAATTTTCTCCCCTCAAAATACTAACTGGGTGTCAGGGAGAAAGATCCTTGTGGTGCAGACAAAATTTATTTCTGGAATGTTTCCTTTTACAAATAGCAAAAACACTAGCATGCTTACTTCACAAACACAAATGTAGGAGAGAAGATTCAAAAGTACAATCTCTTCTGCAGAGATCAGGGAAGGTGAAAAACTGGTTGCAAACTACAGATGATAGAAATGAAAAGGAAATCACAGAAGAAATGAAAAGGAAATTACAGAGAATCACAGAAGAAAACAGTGGGACAGGAGAGCTACCTAGAACCATGATGTATCCTGGAAGTTTCAATTTGATGGAGACCCTGGTTCAGATTTTCTCCTTCACACTTTCCTCTTACCAAACCTCAGTCCCTCCTCTACCTTAGTCAGTTCTAGGCCAGGATTATAGCCACTATTAACTTAGAACTAAATGATGATTCAACTCTTAATCAATGTATGGAAAAACAGGCTAACGGCCCCTAATCCTTGGTAGTTAAAACTAAAATAAGTTTTCCTTTAATAATATATTTCTACAGAAAATATATTTTAAAAGCCCATTAGGTACACTTTTGCAAACAAMCACAACCTCCTATTGGAAATTACTTGTAGAGGTGACACTAGCATCCCCTAACAAACCTATTTAATGAAAGCAAAAGGTTAAAAATGTAATAAAATTTACTTCCTTCAACTCTAATAGAATGTTTCCTAAAGTCTATACAATTAATTATAACCTATACTATACTTGTAGATGTATCATACATACATTGGGCCAAATCTATAATGTTCCCAAGATATATCTGGAATTTGCTTTCCTTAAAAAAATAAAATACCAGATATCAGCTTGCCTTCCTGCTATGTGCTTTTTCTCTCATAAAAGAGTACAAAGTGTGCAACTGCATGACCACCTGAGCAGTGATGTAACAATGGCTGTACTTCTGCAAAATTAATTATTAGAGGAGATTCCAGGAAATGCTAATGCTGTAGAGAGCTCCATGAGTTGTGAGAAAAGTGACAATACATAAGCTAGAAAGAGCCACTGGCTCTGATTATGACACATCTTATAAGAAAATAATAGAGATTAATAATCATTCAGCTTTTAGTAGAAGAGTAGGAACTAATAAAAGAAAATACAGGCCTTCAAACTTGAGATCCTATTTGCAAAATTGATTTAAGGCACTGAAAAAAGTCTGATTTTTAGAAATATTAAGTTAAAAAGTAAAATAGATCTCAACAATTTATTAAAAGGGCAATCAAGGACCCCAAAATCATAAATGCAAAATTTCTTGTAGAGAAAAATGGTTAAGGAAGGAATGAGGTTTAGGTAAAAGAAATTGATAAGCCAATAACATAAAGGTCTTAGAACTTGTATTGAGCTAATAATTATAAGTAATAATTGCTAAATGTTTACTTCCCAGCATTTTATATACATTGTCCAATCAAACTTTCACAGCAATTCTAAGACATTCTCATTTTACAGGCTAAAAAAAAAAAAAAAAAAAAAATTAAAAAATCCAAGTAAATTGCCCAAGATTATTAGAGAGGGACAGTCAAGACTCAAACCTGGTCTGAAGGCATTGACGATTTCCTTAACCACTATATTCTATTGCCTCATTCCTACAACTGCTCTTAAAAAACAACTATCTATTGTTACAAAGTGAACCCACCCATCTTGAGGAGTTACCACGCATGACAGAGGCTGTTCACGTTCTGCTAAAGTTGGCAGCCATGCTGGTGACTGAGGGTTTACTGCACCTTCTAGACTGGATCCAACAAGGGACCGGGCAGAACTCTGTGTCTGAAAGGGGATTAAAATCAACAAGATTATATGCAGCACCTCTGCTGATTCACACAATTTTTCTTATCATATACAACTTTACATTTCTATCACTACTTATATGACAACCAGAATATTTCTTAATAAAACTTTTCCTACCTTTATACACCCCTACTACCTATCATGTTCTTGGCCCTTTTCTTCATTGACTAAAACCAAATGTCTACTCTTCTAAAACCACTTTAATTGGAGGGGGAAAAGCCCAGGTGAACAAAGGCTGGTTTCATTAATTTGTGCATCAAGTCTCTCCTCAAGTTGGTTTGCAATACCATAGTGATCCAGGGCCAGGAGGACTATAAAAACAGAGGGACTGCAAAGAAGAGTGATAATACAGAAGCCCTGTACCTTGGTTGCTAGTCAGACACTAGGCAAGGAACATGAACATCAATTCAATACAAAGTACATTTCATCAAGAGGACGCAGCTCATGCTGATAAAAATCCCTTTTGTAGAGAATAACCGTAATTTAATGTCACATTAAATGATTCGTTAATAATTACTTACACAGGCAATTTTAAGGAGATGCCATATTTCTTTCTGCCTTTTTCCCTGCATAAACATGACAGTATTGTCAGCTTCTTTGATGTTACTGAGGGCCACTTCCACTTTGGGGAGTAGATCAATAATCTTCTGCTTACAGCCCAACAACTTGCTGGAGAGATTAAATCAGTGTCAGATACTGTCACATCCCTCAAAACGGTACACCATACACCACACCCAGTTGGAGAAATGAACCATAATTAGCATCACATTTAATGACTGAGCTCCAAAGGAACACATACAAATAGTATTTATAAGTATATGCAACTGTGGTCAAGTTATCTAATATATTGCCAGAATTTTCTTTGGCTTAGTATAGTTGCCAAAGAAAGGTATTGTGCTTGAAAAAGAACATATTACCTGAAAAGAACAATATATATGTATAATTATACTGGCTTTTAGAAAAGAAATAAAGCAATTTTTCTACCTCAGATGACCAAAGAGCTCCTTGAGAACACGGTCCTGACTCTGCACAGTATGCACAATGATCTTCACCATCTCTGTGCTATCGCTGTAGGAGTGATCTATAAAAGACTTTGGTCAGTGGGCATAATCTCTCTTTTATAAAACATATCAGCCTCCAAATAACAAATTCCTTAAAAACTCCTAAAAATATGAAACTAATAAATACCTCCATTATTAAATTAAAAATTAGATAAAGGCTTTAAGATTATCTACAAATAAATTCAAGGGCTAGGGATATAGCTTAGTGGTAATTATTTTTTTTTAAAGAAACTAACCTTTATTTTATTTTTAATTAATTTTACCTAGTTCTAGGTTCCTTTTTTTTAAAGATGGACACAATATCTTTATTTATTTTTATGTGGTGCTGAGGATCGAACACAGTGCCTCATATGTGCAAGGTAAGTACTCTACCTTTGAACTCAGTGGTAATTATATATGAAAAAGTTAAATGTGTTTGTGTATAGTGTGTGTGTGTGTGTGTGTATGTGTATTATATGTGTGATTTATTGATCAGAAGACTAGAAGTCATAAAAATTTACTGATTAAAGAAAAAAGAATTAAGACTTGTTTTATTTTGAATCTTCAACCATAACTTGTCACTTGAGTCCCTAGTTACTATCTCCAACATTTTTATATTTTCTTATTCCATCAGTAAAATCCTAATCCTAGATCAGTCCAATCATCTGCTCTGTCAGTTACTATAACTATATCTGAGCTAGTTACTATCAACAAAAAACTATTATTGTACACTCTGTTTCCAATACTACTTATTCACATATTTTCACTTTTGCTCTGTATTCCTAATATATTCTGGATTAGTGACATCTTCCATTGTACACACCATCTTTTAAAAATCTTTAGCACAGTCCTCAAATTTATAGTCATCACTTCTTGAATTAAAATTAACCTCATTTCTCACTTCAGAATAGAAGGCGATAAGACAGTAAGACCTTGACCTTCTAACACTCCCACAAACGCATTTGTATCTATACCAATTCCTCCTCTTAATATCAGTAGCATCAGGCTAGCCCCTCCCACTATTCTCCCAAGCCAAATCTGTTCCAGTACTTCCTTTACACAGGCTTTTTGACTACCAAGCATATAAATATGCTAAATCTTCCTACTGAAAATTAACCTCCCTTGAGGCATCTCCTTTTTGTTCCTCACCTCTTTTCTTTCCTTAAACAGACAAACATCTGAAAAGAATAGTCTAGATAAGCAATTCTCATACTTTTTGGTCTCAGGACTATTTCATAAACTCAACATTTGAATAACCCAAAGGGTTTTTCAGAAATTAAAACAAATTTTAAAGTATTTATGTATTAATTTCACTTAAAACAAATCTGCTAGGTATGGTGACACATGACTCAGCAACTCAGGAGGCTGAGGCAGGATTATGATTTTGAGTTTAGCCTGGGTAAACTTAGCAAGACCCTATTTCACAACATTAAAAATAATATGGCTAGGTATGTACCTCAGGGACACTGAACTCAGTGTCTCTAGGTTCAATCCCCACTACTGCAAAAATAAAAACAAAAAAATAAACTATTTCTATTAACATTTTTATTAAAAGTAATCTAAAACAAAATTTTAGTGAGTAAACTGGCATTGTTTTACAAATCTTGCAAATCTTTCTGATTTCTTAAGTCTTAAAAGTCTTTAAGTACTGAGAAATGAACAAACTATATTTGTTAGATAAAGGTGTCTAAAATTCTAATTTTTTGCTTGAAATGTGGAATTCTACCATTGATGACAATGTATTTTCCCTTAAAGCCACAAACATGCTTCACTTTTTATTTCCACTAACCACAGTGTGGCTGACAGTCATTCTTTCAAGTAAAAATGGTATTCCATGAAAGAAGAGGCAAGACACCTAATGTAAACAATTAGTGAAGTGGTTTTAAGAGAACCATCATACTTCACTATATAGCAGAAGCACTTTATTATAAGTATGTCCTTTTTCATCACATAATATATTAAGAAGATATGTACTTAATTCAGGCACAGTGGAGCACAACTGTAATCCCAGCAGCTCAGGAGGCTGAGGCAGGAAGGGATCACAAACAAGCTAGCCTCAGCAAAAGCAAGGTGYTAAGCAATTTCAGTGAGACTCTAACCTTAATAAAATACAATAGAGCTGCGGATGTGGCTCAGTGGTCGAGTGCCCCTGAGTTCAATCCTCTGTACCAAGGAAAAAAAAAAAAAAAAGATATGTACTCAAGGGCTGAGACTTAACTAAAATTTATTTTTTAATGCTACATCATTCTTAAATGAAATTGGCTTTTTAAAAAAATTATGAATAGGGGTTAGGGCTGTAGCTCAGTAGCAGAGCGCCTGCCAATCATGTGTGAGGCACTGGGTTCGATCCTTAGCACCACATAAAAATAAACAAATAAATGAATTCTGTCCATTTACTACAAAAAATTTTTAAAAACCTATGAATACATGATTGTAAAAAAATATGACTTGCAATCTGTATATGGGGTAAAAATGGGAGTTCATAACCCACTTGAATCAAAGTGTGAAATATGATATATCAAGAACTATGTAATGTTTTGAACAACCAACAATAAAAAAAAATATATATGACTATTAGCATAGTCTTGTCCTACAGCCTTGATTCATACTAAGATGCAAGCCAGCTTACCCAACAATGCTTTTGAACCCTTAGTGGGAAATGTCAGTATATTTAAAAAAAAAGAAGGAAAATAATATCCTAGTATTATGAAAAATGATTTTGACCTCATAGACTGAAAAATTTCAAGGATCCTCAGGGGTCCATGAGTTACACTTTGAGAACTTCTGGCCTAGACTTCTCCATTTCTTCTTGTCTCAGTCCCTCCTCAATCTAATATAATCTGGTTTCTGTTACACTTTGCAAGGTCACCAATAATGTGCAATTGAATATTTTCATTAACATTTTTATTCAGACATGTCTATTTGAATGTCCCTAATATCAATATGTTAAAAAAAAAAAAAGAACTCACATTGTTTTTTCTATCTAGTCTGTTATCCTTCCTATATTTCCCTGGTCCCATCAAGTAACCAGATACTCTCACCAGAATCTTGGGAGGCATCCATGACTCCCAACCCAACCTCAGCCATCCATATTCAATCTGTCACCCAATACTACCAATTATACCTCCTAAATCCCTCTCCTTGCCCTTTCTCCCACACTTTACCTCACTATAAAAATTCATAATTTTGCCTTAGTTCATAATCCACTCTGCTCTGAGCTATGATATTGTCTTAATGATTTCATAAGTTATGCTCCTGTCACTAGCCTAGCCATACTTTAATCCATTATTGACAATAACCTGGAGTAGCATTTCTAAAATGCTAATTTGAACATGCCATTCTGGATTAAAACTTTTTAGGTTTTTTCTTTTTCAGCATGGTGAAATCCAAACTCTTTACCATGACATACCAGATCCTTTAAGATTCAGCTGTATCTTTCTCCTCCTGAAAGTCTACATTCCAGTGATACTGTATTTTCTTAAACATGCTAAATGCTATATGCCCATGTCTTAATATGCCTGGGTTCAATCCCCAGGTTTTTTTTTWAAAGAAGGAATAAATAAATAAACACAATTTCACATGCATATGTTGTAATGTGTTCACAAATTTTAATGTATAAAACCTACTTTTTTTAGAAATTAAGAACATTTCATTCTAGGGCACAAATTTCACTTTTTATTTCTTCTGTCACCTTTCCTAACAAATTTTTAATATCTTGTAATGTGCTTAATACCTTACAGTCTTCAAAGCATTTTTACAAACATCCTCTTAAATACATTGCTACAACACACTTAACTGAGTTAGGAAAGCTAGGTTTTAACCCTATTTTACAGAAAAAGAAAATGAGATATGGGAAGATTTGCCTGAGATAATTTGATCAGTAAAGTACCCAATCTTGAATTCAAGCCTTCAGATTTCCAACCTGTGCTCTTTCCAGCAGAGTATGCTCCATATTTAGCAGATGTTCAAAAGGAATTGTTTTGCCAATTATACAAGCAATGACCAATGCAGATGAAGGCAGCATTTTCAAGGTAAATCACTTTTGCCTAGCACATGGGCTTTTTCTCACCATTAAAAAGAATTTGCATCAAATTCTTTCCAAATTCTCTAATCTTAAGCATCAGTGCCCCTCCCCCACCACTCACATCTTTCCACAGATATTTCTGCTTCCTCTTTCTCTTCTTTGAGTTCCTTTTTTTTCTCTTCCATTCCTTCTTTTCACTTCCTTTTAAAAAACTTTTCTACCTCAATTTCCTTATTACTTTCCCTTTCTAATCTCTTAAATCATTGCAAATTTAAAGCTATTATACCATCATTATCTCAATGGTAATACTCAACAGTAATTTTGTAGCTTTTTAAAAATTTAAAATTTAGGGCTGGGGTTGTAGCTCAGTGGAAGAGTACTTGCATGTGTGAGGCACTGGGTTTGATTCTAAACACCACATACAAATAAATAAAATAAAGGTCCATCAATAACCAAAAAATATTTTTTAAAAAATTTAAAATTTAGGAATTTAAAATTTAAAATTCCCCAAATTTCTTAGGCTAGTGAAGGTTCCTAAAATGCCATCAGGTACTATGACAGAGGTATCTTATCTTACCTGCAGGTCTGTGCTTTAACTGCTTGTATAGATCAATTGCATGTTGTTCCCTACAAAAAAAGAGAAAACATGCTTCTCTGTGAAAGTAGTTTAGTGACTTCAATAATCCATAATTTGAAATGAATACTCCTGGTGATCGGAATGATTCCATTTAAAGCAAATATAAATTACCAATGAATATTACAGAGCATTTCACTGAGTTATAAGCAAGAATAATACAAGTTCCTAAAATGTGAAGTTTAATATACTTCACATGTGCTCTGATCTCCCACCACAAATACAACATCCTTTCAACAGAAACAGTGAAATTTGTAAAACCTATGGCTTGCAATTAAAGATTTATCTGGGTTCTAATCCAGACACTTCAGAAGTTAACTCACTAAAGCAGGTAAGCGATAGCATGGCCAGAAGTATAGTAAGTAGGGAAACAGTTTGTAATTTAGATATACTTGGAGATTTCTTTTTTTTTTATTGGTTGTTCAAAACATTACATAACTCATGACATATCATCTTTCATACATTTGATTCAAGTGGGTTATGAACTCCCATTTTTACCCCTACTTGGAGATTTCTAACACAAGAAAAAGATGCTTCAATTAAAAAGGTCAGAGAGGGTCAACCCAAAGAGTTATTTCCAAAATATCCTGTGACTAAGAAATATTTTTCATTTTACATGATGCCAATACATTTAGAGGAAGTAAAACTATAGCAAAGAGCCATACAGAGGCTAAACCTTCCAGATAAAAGCAGAAAGAACAATGTCACAAAAAGTTACAGACATCAAGTCCAAAACACAAGTACATCCTTACAGAGATTCCATCAAGTCTCCCTGACGTCTTCCATATGGGCTCTTCTGTAGCTCCATGATTTCAGTGTGCAAAGACATAATCTGATCCTCAAGGTATCCAATGACACCAACCTAAAATATGATGAAAACACGAAGAAAATAATGGATTTACTATGACATAACACAAAACAAAACTCAGATCTTAAGGATAGAGAATGGTCTGTTGTGGTAGTAGTAGAACTAAATAATATAAAACACTAATTCTGTTAAAACGTTTTTATCCTTTGATTCTGACAATCTTTCACATAAGAACATACTTATTCCTATATTTCTCTTTTCTCCCCTGACAATATTAAACTACAAACATTTTCTTATTCCTCTAAAGAAGAAAAAAGGTAGATGTGTTACTAACAAGGCAAAAAAAGTAGCTACCAAAACAACCGGTAATGCTTGCAACTGAGCTTCAGGATATCAACCACCCCACCYATATCCTCCAGGAAATATCTACTGACCCCAGAATGTGACCCTAAGGACAGCAATAAGCTAGGACCATGGACAAACATACAAGATAAGGAAGGAATCTGCCACCTGGAGAATGATCTATACCTTGGCAGGCTATATAAATTTATTGTCTAAACCAGTATAATTTTGAGAGTGAAAGGTACTACTATTGATAATTATAGGAAGACAACATGTATAAACTGGGACTATCCCAGGTAAACCAGGATGTGCAGCTGTTTAAACAAGTCATAAAAATAATAGCGATAACYGCCATTTATTATTAATTCCCACCTTCATAATCCTATTAAAATTAATATGTATAATATAATAGAAACTGAAGCTTCATGAAACCAAGTAATTTGCCCAAAGTCCTTGTTTTTATCTATTACAGTACCTTTCTCTCTATATACAAAGCATCTACTAGGTATCTGTCTGAATTTCAATAATGACAAATATATTAAAAAAATTATATATCAAACCCAAAGGCAATTTCTAAGGGAGACATCAAGAATTAATAAGCTCAAAGAATCAGCTCAGTGCTTTTACCTCAGCATAGTGATTGGCCTTTTCTTCCATTTCTTTCCATGCTTTTAGCATTTTTTCTGAAGCTTAAAAAAAAAATTCTAAATTGGTTATCTCAGAAATAGCCATAGCTTTAATTACTAGCCTGCCTGCTTCCTTGCTGTATCAACATCAAAGATCTGTCATGTATTTTGTGTCCCCTCTCCCCCAAAATATGTTGAAGTTATAACATCTAATACTTCAGAATGTGACCTTATTGGCAATAGTGTCATAAAAGATATAATCAGCTGAATGCTCTGGAGAAGGGTGGGCCCTTAATCCAATATGAGCAGTGTAATTATTAAAAGAGATACAAGAATACGGATACATAAGGGGACAATGCCAAAGGACAATAGAAGCACAGATTAAAGTGCTGCAACTGTAAGCCAAGGAACATCAAGGTTTGCTGGCAAACCAGAGGAAGCTAGAATAAAACAAGGAAGGATTCTTCACTACAGGTGTCAAAGAGATGATGGCTCTGCTAACATATTGATTTTGGACTTTAAGCCTCCAGAACTATGAGACAATACATTTCTATTATTTAAAGGCATCCAGTTTATGGTATCTTGTTGTAGAAGTTCTAGAAAGTAATACAGATGTTTTCTCTTTAAAAAAAATTTAGAAGTAATACACGAATATGTTTTTAAAAGATCAAACAGTACGCCGGGTGCGGTGTGCACGCCTGTAATTCCAATGGCTTGGGAAGCTGAGACAGGAGGATTGTGAGTTCAAAGCCAGTCTCAGTAAAAGCAAGGGGCTAAGCAACTCAGTGAGACCCTGTCTCTAAATAAATATATAAAATAGAGTGGGGATGTGGCTCAGTGGTCATGTGCCCCTGAGTTTAATCCCTGGTACATCTCCCTCCCTAAAAAAAGATCAAACAGTATAAAAGGATATATAAAAAAAGAAAAGACTCTCTTCCTCCCCTCTACACTAAACCCCAAGGGATATCACTATCATATATACACTTATTTTTTTTTTCAGTTTTCCCACTACTCAAAGTAGCACTGCCAATTAAAGGTCCAAATGATCTTTTAATAATAGAACTACTTCTTATTATTTGGATACTGGGGATTGAACCCAGAGTGCTTTACCACTGAGCCACATCCCAAGCCCTTTTCCTTTTTTATTTTGAGAAAAGGTTTTTCTAAGTTGCTTAGGGCCTAAGTTGCTGAGTCTAGTGAACTTGCACTCCTCATGCCTCAGCCTCCCAAATTGGGATTACAGACATGTGCCATGATGCCCAGCTTATTTCATTCTTTTAACAGTTATACAATATGCCTTTGACAAATCAAAGATTTTTTTAAATGTTTTTATCAGTGCATTATACTTATACATAACACTGGAATTCATTTTGACATAATCATTACAAGTGTGGAAATATAATATGCTCCATTTCAGTCCCCAGTACTACCCTTTCTCTCCCTTCCTCCCTCCTCCTGTTTCCCTTCCTCTACTTTACTGGTGTTTCTTCTATTTATTATATATTTTTAAAATTAATGCTTTAAGACATACATAAAGGTAAAATTCACTGTGGTATATTCATATATGTAAAGTGAAAGACATTTTAATGAAATAATTGCAATGTTATTCACCAGGATGACTATAATACATAAATAAAAATAAAACATCAATTATATAACCAACTTTTTATTTGAATTTTAACTGTGCTTTTTACAGTTCCTTAGTAAATTCCAAGGAAGATCAAATATTGGAAATCTGGAGACTACATATAATAAAAAACAAAAGGACTCCATTGTAAATGGTTTGGAAGGAAACAACCTTGGAATTATTTGTTTTATTATTGATAATAAAATAAGTTGTTTATGCCAGTCCACCTGAACTGCTATGCTAAAAACAAAATAAATAAACAAAAAAGCATAAACTAGGTAGCATATAAACAACAAAAATTTATTTCTTGGTTCTGAAGGCCGGGAAATCCAAGATCAAAGCACCAGCAGATTTGGTGTTTGGTGAGAGGCTACTTTCTGATTCATAGATGGCTATATTCTCACTATGTCCTCACATGGCAGAAAGGATAAGGAAATCTTACTCAGGCCTCTATTATAAGGGCACTAAGTTAATTCATGAGGGCTCTTATGCTCATGACCTAAATACCTCCTGATGGTCCTATCTCCAAGTACCATCATGGTGGGAGCCAGTTATTTCAATATATAAATTTGGGTAGGGGGGACATGAACATTCAGTCCAGAGCACTGGCTAAGAAACTGCCCTAGTATAGATTTTATATCCAGTATAGATTTTGTGTTTATTTTTAAAACAAGATTTGAAATTCACAGATTCTTTAATTGTTTTAATATTATTTAGCCTTTTTAAAAAGGAGCTAAATAATCTCATTTCAATTATGAAGCTAAGTTGCTCAACTTAGGAATTTTTAAAAAGAGCTAATATACAAAACAAACATGGTTTATGATGATCTAAGTTATCCTGTCTCGTTTTAAATGTGAAAGTAAGTGACAACTGGCGAGTCAAGAAGGTACGACATCAGATGGCTTCAAGAGGCTAAACACTCCTTTACACATTATACCCAGACACTTACATATCCCATAAGTCATCTGTTCACTATATCTCTCCAAGTCAAGCTGAATGCTTTTGTGAAAAAACTCCAATTTAGCTTTCAGTTGCTGTGATGCTGAGATCAAAGTGTTCTTCATTTTTGTCAAGTTAGCATTATATCTAAGAAGACTTAACCTAAACCATAACAAAACAAAACAAAAAATATTACCAGCATTCAGAAACATTGGATAAAAATTTTAAAACATAAATTACTGAAGGCCCAAATCTAAATGTCTGCTATCAATCTATGAAAAATAACTCATCTCTAGAATCTTGTCTCAGAAGACTTCCTGCCTCTGATATTATGTGATAAACAATCTTATACTAGGACACAGGATCTACCACTAAGTAAGCCATTGCAATTGGACAGCTTCAGACCATTAATAAGAAATCTATAAGTCTGATCAGAATATTACATTTCAAATTGGTTCAATATTTTAGTATTGCATGCAACATTGATTAGTGAAAACTGGCAATATTAATTCTTTTTTTATGTAATATTGCATTTTTTATACCTTTATTTATTTATTTTTATGTGATACATGTTAGGCAAGTGCTCTACCACTGAACTACAACCACAGTCGAAGATTAATTCTTGAGTATATTTTGCACATGATATTGTGCTTATAAAGAACAAACTCCACTTACATTGCTGCTCTTTGTCCCTGAAAGAGCCTGCTRTAGTCTTCTTTTAGCCCAGATACATAGTGCACTGCTTCAGCCCATACTTTACGTAGCTGTATAATTGGAAGCTGTATTTTGCTATCTTGTACTATAGACAAAAAGATGAGGAAAATGGGAGGTGAGTTACTTTTGACAATGTTACAGTTCATTTACTACTCTCTGTGATTTCTTGTCCACAAAAACAGCATTTCCACAAATGTCAGAAACAGATATTAGAAAGTATTTCTGCATTTCCACTTCCAAATAAGGTTACTGGGTACCTGCAATACACAAGCCCAGCTCCAAATACAAGGGAAAATAAAAGTGAATGGCATAATCACTACCCTCACAGTTGTAGATTATTCCTATATCTGCCCTATTTTCTTGTTTCTTTCCAATCTGGAATTCTCTTTTATTCTCTCTGCTAATCCAAATTCTTTAATCTTTTCAAGTTCTAAATCAAGTCCTATCTCCTCCACAATCCACTAGTCTTTCCTGTTTCTAAATAATAAATATCATCTTCTGACCACCAACTCAGCTTCAAGAAAGCATACAGAATAAATGGCATATTAATAAGTTATGCAAGACTTTAAAAACTAATTTTTTATTATCTCTTGCCCATTCTTTATTCTCTAATAAAAGGAACTAGGGTTCTTAAAGAACTGCTTTAAGAATGGAGCAGAAACCATATAAGATGAACCTAGAAAGCAGTGCCAGAATATAAGGAAGTACTAAAGAAATGAAAATAAATAAATAAAACAAAAAAACCCAATTCATTGATGGGGGCATGTAGAATAGGTAGAAGAGCCAGTGAGAAAAGTCCTTAATGTCTTTAGATAGAACAGTTTAAGCAACAAATAAACTAGTATTAGATTGTAATTCAAAGTATAAAATAATTATCCATGAGCTGAAATCAACAGAAAAAAATCACTGAATAAATTAATATATGGGAGAGAAGATATAAATCTCCCATGTAGAAGAATTTCTTTTTTAAAAAATATTTATTCTCAAGTTTTAGATGGACACAATATCTCCATTTTACATTTATGTGGTGCTGAGGATCAAACGCAGTGCCCCATGCATGCTAGGCGAGCACTCTACCACTGAGCCACAACCCCAGCCCCATGTAGAAGAATTTCAAATGAATTATGTAGATACTCTTCCCTGAAGGAGTGTAGCTTAACTTCCTAGTCCTTAAGTGTGGTTTTACACAGTGACTTCCTTTTAAAGAATAGAGTACATAAGGGAGAGAGGGAAAATTAACTGTTACTTGGAGAGAACTTAAAAACATTACTTCAGCCAGGTGATAAGTTCAATACAAATAGTAATAAAACATGTACTATGATAGTATGTACTTAACATGCAATAAAAATGTCACTTTACTTCTATGATCTTTCTCTCAAAAACACCAAAATCAGGCTGGAGATATAGCTCAGTTGGAAGAATGCCTGCCTTGCATGCACAAGGCCCTGGGTTCAATCCCCAGCACCACAAAAACACACACACACATCTCAGTCTAAATCATAAGGAAAAAAAAAGAAATTCTAACATATCAGAATTCTATAAAAGACTTGATCAATCCTCCTCAAAACTGTCAAAGTCATCAAAATTAAAGGAAATTCTGAGAAACTAACACAGCGGAGAGAAGCTTAAGAAGTTACAACTAAATGTAATGTGTAGCCTCACTGGATCTTAGAACAGTAAAAATACATAAGGTAAAAATTAAGAAAATCTAAATAATATTACTTAATAATAACCCATTGGTTCAAAATTGTACCAAATGTGCCATACTACTATGTTAATAACAGGAGAACTRTATGTATAAGGAAGGGCAGTTACATACTCAATTTTTCTATAAATCTGGTTCTAATAAGTCTTTGGGCAAAAAAATGTTAAAATCTGAGGGAAGGGGGTTGACTTGAAAAAAAAATGAGGGAACGTTCTGAGGTGAAGGAAATGTTCTCTGTCTTGACTGTGGTGTGGTTTATACACACATATATACACACATATGTATATCATAAATTTGAGGAATAGAAACTATTCTTTGATTTAAAAGAAAGCTAATGAAAAGATAACACAGTACTGTAAAGATTACATGTATTTTAGCACCATGCCAATTTTGTTCTTGTTTTTTGGTACTGTGGATTAAACCCACCCAGAGGTGCTCTATACCACTGAGCTACATCACCAGCCTTTTTAAATGACTGATTTATTTTTTGGAACCAAATATTGAATCCTGAGGCGTTTAACACTGAGCCACATCCCCATCTCTTTTTATTTTGGGACAGAGTCTTATTAAGTTGCTTAGTGTCTTGCTAAGCTGTTGGGGCTGACATAAAACTTAGGATTCTCTTGCCTCAGACTTCYGAATTGCTGGGATTATAGACATGCATGACCACGCCTGGCTTAATGTTTGAAGAAGGGTCTTACTAAGTTTCAGAGGTTGTCCTCAAAGTTGTGATCCTTCTGCCTTTGCCTCCCACATTGTTGGGATTATAGGCATGTGCCACTATACCTGGTTCTAATTTTTTTTTTTGGTACCACGGATTGAACATAGGGGCACTTAACCACTGAGCCATATCCCCATCCCTTTTTTATATTTTATTTAGAGACAGATTTCACTGTGTTGCTTAGGGCCTTGCTCAGTTGCTGAGGCTGGCTTTGAACTCAAGATCCTCCAGCCTCAGCCTCTCAAACCGCTGGGATTACAGGCATGCCCTACCATACCTGGCCTGGTTCCAATTTTGTTCTTGATTTTATAATTTAGTGCCCAATTTTAGTTTGAGTAGACATAAATTCATTAAATATTTAACTTGTTCCAAAGAAAGAATCATCTTCATAGGATAAATTAYAACATTTGATCATCAAGCAGTATTCTTAAGTTAAAATAAATATTTGAGAACAGAATGTAGCTCAGTGGTAGATGGCACTTGCTTAGCATGCATAAAGCCCATGGTTCAGATCCCTGGGCAGGGAGGCAGGCAGGAAATAAAATTTCACAGATAATAAATACTCATATATAAGGAAGGAACAGTTCAAAAGTAGATTTAATTAAGGGAGCGGTTTCATTTTCTTATCTATGAGATAAGAGGAATCAGGTAGTGATTTAAAATCTACCTTTTCACTTTCCAAACTACATAAATCTATTTTTTACCTCATATAGAAACCTCAATTATGAGAGATACAAAACAAAAACACTAAAAACACCATTTTTACTAATCATGTTGAGAATCAATACTATTATTTCAGGATTAAAGGTTAGCCACGAAATGAACTATACTTACCAATATAATTTACACAATCTGATAAACTTCTGGAAGCGAATGGCCCTTCATATACAGTCTTACTTTTATCAAACAAATAAACCATATAGCTATCACAGCCTCTCTGAAAAAGAAACAAACAATTAAAATTGTTCTTGAAAATCCTAGCCTTTCTAAATATTTTAGTACAAGATTTCTTACTTTGAAATGCAAATGAACAAAGTCAATGTATATCAACTACATTTTATAGATTTAAGGTCTAAACCTAGAGACGGGGAAAAGTGCGAAAATGAAAATGATCAGCATCCCAAAAGAATAAAATGAAAAGGCAAATTTCCATAAAATGAAAATACTATTTAGTAATCAAAAGGAATGAAGTATTAATACATGCTACAACATGGATGAACCTTAAAAATATAATTGTAAATTAAAGAATTTAGACATAAGAGACTATATTTTATGATTCTGCTTAAATGTAATGTTCAGAAAAGGTAGATCTATGCAGATAGAAAGTGGATTAGTGACCAAAGGGAGATTAACAATTAACGGACATGATGGATCTGTTGAGATGGAAATGTTTTTAAACTAATTTAAATTTATTTTAAAAATCACTGAGTTGTACATTTGAAATGGGTGAATTACACGATATGTAAAATATGCCTATATAATGCCATAAAAAGAAAAAAAAAGTCATGACACAATCATATTTACCACCCACCTATCCTCTGGCAGGATCTATGAGACTGCTAGTCTAATTTCAAGGTCCTAGGCTTCAAATACAAGAAGGAAAAGAAAGTAGGAGATAACTGGCACCAAAGAAAAAGTCTTACAAAGTTCAAAACAATAAATATATCATTTATACCTTGTTTTCCTTGCAAAACAATGATAAGAGTCACCAGTAAGGCAAGACTTAAAAAAATTATATAAGATGTATAACATTCCCCAAGGAATCCCAATTATGTATCAAATCAGTCATAGAGCATGCAATTCCTTGGTACAGATTTCTTATCTTATCATACTCTAGAATTCTCTTACAATCCTTTCTATAGCACAGTAGGGTAACTATAATCTACAACAACTGATTATACATTTCAAAACAACTAAAGTAAGAACTTGAAGGGTGTGAACACATATAAATGATGATATTTGAGGAGACAGAAATGCTAATTACCTTGATTTGATCTTTATACATTGTATACATGTACTGAATTAATACTATACCCTATAAATAAGTAAAAATATTATATCAATTAAAACAAAAAAGAATTTCTTACAACTCCATCTAGAACACATTGAGAGGCTGGTTTCCGAGGATCTAGAGAAATTCCTGTCTCTGAAAGAAGTTCTTGAGAACCAGTATTTATTCCAGTTTCACGCTCAATGCGAGACTGTAGTGAATGAAGACTTTCATCAGGTGGTAACAAAAAAGAAATGATCTTTGCAGAAGTCATATTTAGGATGTGTACTATCTGTATAATAAGGAAAAAAAGATACATCCATTGATCATTTTCTTTGTAAATGATTCAGTGCAAGATATTAAGAAGGGAATGTGAACAAAAGGCATTATTCATTCTCCAAAGTGAGATTATCTGTAATTATAAAAATGGACATTCCGAAAACTAAAGAACAGAGTTTAGAGGGCTGGGTTGTGGCTTAGTGGTAGAGCACTTGCGTAGCATGTCCGAGGCACCGGGTTTGTTCCTCAGCACCGCATAAAAATAAATAAATAAAATAAAGTTCTTGGTCCCACTGCAACTGAAAAAACAAAACAACAACAACAAAAAAAMCCAAGAGTTTACCTTTCTACTACAATAGATGTTAGTTCCAACAAATAAAATTTCAGTTTTAAGGCTGCACAACATCAAGTAATAAAAATTCTAATTAAAAAATAAAATGATACTTATTTGAGAAACATTATCACAGACCTAGAAGGAAATAATCTTATATATGAAGTGCCTAACTTACAACAACCATAGAGTTAAATGCTTTCACATAACATCCCCAATTAATTAAATCTCAATTTCTATCTTAGCAGAGAGGGCTCTAAGAAGTTAAATAGTTTGTTAGGGATCATACAGCTGATAACTGGTAGAGCTTGAATCTGAAATTTTTACTACCTCATGTTGCCTCAAGAAATAATCATCTGGTAGAAGAGATAAGCTACTTTTTCAACAGGAAAAAAAGTGTTGTTACCCTCGMAAGGCAATCAAATCCCTGAGCAGTGACCTACCTAAGGGCTCACAGATGGATAAGAAAACAGTCTTATTACTCTCACATAAAGTCCCAGTGATGGTAGCCTCATATAGGCAAGTCAGGCAGGGCTCTATCTAGGTATTTCCAGGTAAGCAAGGACAGTCACAGAGTTGGAGGACAGTCTTTTGAACACAATACTTCTTTTCCTTCCACTAACCTTAGATAAGCCATACAAAATTGWTATTTATTTCTTGATTCCTTACATTGATTAGCTTATGCAAATGATTAAAAGTATCTCTGCTGGAAATCCTTGCTAAAAAGTAAAGCATTAGGGTTGGAGATGAGGCCCAGAGTTAGAGTTCCTGCCTGGCATGCTTGAGGACCTGGATTTGATTCCCAGCACAGGGTTGGGGCAGATGGGGTAGATAAAAAGGCTTCCTTTCTTCTTCTTTCCTCTTAAAATACAAGGAGCCATGGGTATAGTTCAGTGACAAAAGTACATGCCTGGCATGAGTAAGGCTTCAAGTTCAATCCCCAGCAACATAAACCCCTGCCCAACCGACACACAGATTATATTGACAGCTGGGCATGTAGATTCACAGGATCTCACTTACCTAGCATGTGCAAGGCCCTGAGTTTGATCCCCAGTACTGAAAAAAATATTATAATTGACATTTTTCAAACACACTAAATTGTAGATAATAGTATCATAATCCCACTCCAAAGCCTGGGAATGCCTTGCCTGGTTTCAACCATCACTTACACAGAGTCAATTTTATTTCATCTATATGCCCCCTCATAGACCCCTCTACTGAAGTATATATTTTTTCTGTCTTTTAAATTCTTGATTTTGTGGCAATTTAATTTTTGATATGTAAAAATTATATATAAGATACACAATGTGATATTTTGATATACATTATGAAATGACCACATTTCAGCTAATTAACATATCTACTACTTCTCCATAGTTACCATTTTTATACCCTTTGACTAACATCACCACATTCTCTTCTGCCATCAGTCCCTGGTAACTATCATCCTATTCTCTGCTTCTATGAGTCTGACTTTTATTTATTTTTTAAAATTTTGGCCAGGTGGTTCATTGCCAGGGACCAACTACAACCAGGACCAGGACCAGGACTGTACTTTCCACAAAACCTCCCTAAGGATGAAGGAGTGGGAGACACGACATCTCTACCATGCACCCATGTTGGGCAGCTGGCAACACTCCAAGTTTGACTCATTTAGATTCCACATGTAATTGAGATCATGCATTATCTCTTTTTGTGTATTTCACTTAGCACAATGTCTTCCAAGTTTATCAATTGTCCTAAATGACAGAATTTCCTTTTCTATTAAAGCTGAATAATATTCCATTGTGTATATACCATATTTTCCCTATCCACTCATCTTTTGAAGGACATTTAGGTTTCTGTATCTTGGCTATTGTGAATAATGTTTGCAGTGTACACAGATGTTCAGATCTCTTCATAATCCTTTTTCATTTCCTCTTGATATCCAGAAGTAGGAATACTAGATCAATGATAGTTTTATTTTTAATTTTTTGGAAAGCTTTCATACTGTCTCCCATAATGTCAGTATAATTTATATTCCCATCAACAGTGCACAAGGGTTCTCTTTCACCATATCTTTGCCAACACTTGCTACCTGTTAGATTTGGATTTGGAATGTCCCCCAAAGGCTCATGTGTTAAAGGCACGGTTCCCAATAAAACAATGTTCAAGGTAGGGCCTTGGGGAAGTGATTAGATCATGGGGGCTCAAATCTCATAATGGACTAATCTATTAATAGATTCATAGCTGAATGAACTATTGGGGTTAGTGTAAACTATAGGAAGTGGAACCTACTTGAAGGGAGTGGGTCCTTGGGGGTGTGCCTTGGGGATTATATCTTGTTTTGGGCCTTTTCCTCCCCTGACTTCCTGGCCACTATGATGAGAATTTACTCCATCATGCTTTCTCCACCATGATGCTTGGACTCACCACAGGCCCACAGCAATGGAGCCAGTTGACCCTGGATTAAAAACTCTGAAACCATAAGCCAAAATAAATCTTTATTCCTTTAAGTTTTTTTCACAGGTATTCTGCCACAGCAAGAGAAAGCTAACATACTACCATTTGTCTTTTTTATAATAGCCATCCTAATAGGAGCAACGTGACATCTCATTATAGTTTTGTTTTCTTTTTTGGAGGGGGGAGGGATTGGTTTTCTTGTGGCATAGGGGATTGAACCCAGGGCCTTGAACATGGTAGACAAGTATAAAACCACTGAGCTACATTCCCAGCCCAAAATGCATTTCCCTAATAATTAGCATTGTTGAGCACCTTTTCAAATGCCTGTTGACCATCAGAATTTCTTCTTCTAACAAGTGTCTATTTAGCTCATTTATCCATTTTTTAATCAGGTTATTTGTAATTGGCTTATTCAGTTGTATAGGTCCCTTGCCAAATTTAGGTATTAACCCCATATCAGACAAGTTTTGCAAATATTTTTTCCTATTTTAAAAGTTGCCTTTCCATTTTATTTAATATTTCCTTTGTTGTGCAGAATTTTTAAAATTTGAAGTGCATTATTATTTCTATTTACAAATCCTGACACTGATGCTTAAGTGGTGCTAAAGAAATAACAAACTGCTTTTATAACCTAAAATTGATCTTTTTAATGTAAATTCCAAATGTCATAACAAAATTGTCAATATTTCTCTTAGCATAACATTAAGAGACTTTCCTTTAATATATAATAAACTTTAATGTTTTAAAATTAATTATCTCTTACTTATTCTTTAAAATCAGCCCTATTATTATATTTAGGAAGTGTCCCTGAAACCTTCTGTATTATCATGAATAGTACTCAATACTTATACTGCACAACTTCACAATAATATTGATCCTTTGAAGATATTACTATTCTCCAAATAAAGAGAAAGTAAATATCTGCTCAGATTCATAGACAGGTAAGTAGTGGTGATGCAAACATAACTAAGTCTATAGGCGCACAAACYCCATAATGAGAAATCTTTCTCCATGCTCTATGACAAACATGCTCACAGACAAGTAGGAATGATGCCATAATTACTATCACAAATCTAAAAAAGGAAAATGAGTGGTGCACAACCAAAACTTTCAAAGGCAACATAAAGCTAAAGGCCTCACCAAGCCAAGCTTTGTTAACACACTGAGGAATGAAACCAAATCAAGAAGCTAGCTACTTTTTCAGTGTTAATCAAGAACGACATGAACATGCCCTCAAATTCACATTTAATCAAGTATTCCAAGATTAGATTAAAACCTTACATGAATATGAATTCTCATTTTAATGTTAGAAAGCCTGTATACTATTGGCACTCAATACATACAGAAAGACTGCAGATGAGGGTTGTTTCTGGGTATACAATATAAAAGATCTACACTGGGGCTGGGGTTGTAGCTCAGAGGTACAGTACTCGCCTAGCATGCATGAGGCTCTGGGTTCAATTCTCAGCACCACATAAAAATAAAGATATTGAAAAAAAAAAGAGATCTACACCTCTCACTCGTATCAATGAATAATTACTGAGAACCTGATACATACCTGTAACAGAATGCCATGATAGAAATGGAGTCAGGTTAGGGTGAGTGATTGTTAATAAAAGTAGTAAAACCAACCAATTGAAGAAGAAAATCTAAGTGCAGAAGCATGAGTAGAAGAAAAGAAATAATTAAAGAATATATAAAATAGGATTAAGTGACAAACTGTGTTGCAGAGACCATTGGGGGAAAAAAAAAGCAAGTTTAAGATATGCCTGTGTAGGTAAGGATATGTGTACAGACAGAGATCATATTGTAGAGAATAACATTCATCAATGTGCAAAAATACACAAGGGGTTTGATGGCATGACACAGTGACCAGTGACTACCTCTGAGTGAGGTAAAGGTTGACAAAATCAGGAAAAGACACATACTTGATTGGGGTGAACCTACATTAGGAAGCCCCAAAAACCCCAGGAAGATCAGTTTAGATATGTCTTAGTAAGCAAAAACAATTGTTTTGATTTCATGGATAGAAGAATATAAAAGCATTTTCAGAAGATGAGGGGTAGTTCATGTGGGATAGACTACAGGATGGAGAGTAAATATAAAGAATTAAAAGCCAGGAAGGAACCTCCCTCACCAAACCAAATCCAGTAGAATTAAACCTAAATGAATGAAGTAATAAATGACACCAATACAGGAATGGAAAAATCCAAAAGAAATTTCAAACGAATAATCAGCAAAGGCCACTTAGATGCAAACTGAAAAAATCTTGCTAAAGAAATGAAGCATCAGCTCTAAGAACATAATTTGCCTTTTCAAATAAATATCAGGAAAAGACTACTAAAATATATTTATGTTCATTTTTCCAAGTAAACTTATTAACTTCATAGTAGGTTATATGAAATACACCCCTTAAAACTAACCTTCAAATTCAGAATGTGATCCATTAATAGGAAACATCTTGGTTGCTTCAAAGTAAGATCAATGGGTCCCCCTCTCTGCTGTGGGTCCCAATTCAACATCAACTGTAGCCAGTTTTCCATGGGCTCCACTATTAAACTAGAAAATGTACAAAATATGATGAATATCATTATTTTCCATTTTCTTTAGTATTACTAAAAAAATAATTTAGTAGGTTGTCTATTTCCTTTCTTATCACTTATCCATACCATTYTATATCTTACTTTCAAATAAGTCACAAAACTGCAGGGGATATACTTTCTAATCTATCTCACAGAGGACTTAATAAAATAGTGATAATAAAGATGTACAGAGACTTCCTTGATCAACATCTTTGGCATATCCTAGATCCCCAAACCCACATATGTAAATTTGTTATTGGCAGATTCAACAGGTGAGTCCGATTCTACTCTCCAGTGACCATTTATTTCTTAATCCCTAGGATCTTCTCAGTACTTAAGCCAATCAAATTGAGTGGCAATAATTCTCAGTTCCCCTACAACTATGTTGTCGATTACTATTTATTTAAAATTCAGTTCTTCAATCACATTAGCCATCTTTCTTTTTCTTCTTCTTTTTTTTTTTTTTTTTTTTTTTTTTTTTGATAGTACTGGAAATCAAATCCAGGGCCTCATGCATGCTAAAAAAGTACTCTAACACTGAGCTCTACTCCCACAGCCCCTAGCCATCTTGCAAGTGCTCAAAAGCTCAATAAGCCTCACGTGGCTAAAACTAATATGGAATATTTACCTTGACAGAAAGTTCTACTGGATAACACTACTTGAAACAAACAACTACACTACTGTTCTTTTACAACCCTGGAGAAACTGAGGCACACCTCCTCAAATAAAGTACACTTACCTACAAAGGCTATTTGGTTGAGGTAAATGGCTACTAAATCGAACTTCCCCTGTCATCTCTTCACATGCAAATATACACTTTGAATCCTTCTTCTTAATCTTCTCATGCCTATAAAAACAAAAGATACCTCAGCTGACAACCTGACTCTTTTACTATTTCTTGCCACTTATTTTATTCAATTCTGCAATTAAAAAGCAACGATACCAATAACAAAAGTAGGAAACAACCAAAAAATTTCCATTCCCATTAAATATGACAAAGTTCTCATCCATGTCTTACCAGGTAAATGGCTGCAGATGATGCAAAAAAGGCCTATATCCAGCAATACATTCAAACACCATGGTCCCAAAGCTCCAATAATCAACCGTGGCTGTGTAAGGCTTATTCTCAAAGAGCTCTGGGGCCTTAAAAAGAGAAAATGCTTTAAATGCCAAAACTGTAAGGGGAAGTTATTTTTGTACTACTGTATTCATGACCTTCAGAAATAAGAATAAGAATTTTATATATTTAAATTCAAAGATATAGTACATATCTCACCAGATACTGCAGTGTTCCCACAAAAGATGTACAGAGACTTCCTTGATCAACATCTTTGGCATATCCTAGATCAATTATTTTATGTATTACCTGCAAAAGAAAATGGTTGAAATATTTGAAAGGGAAAGACAATAATATCCTTAGGCTGTGGAGATGGTGGTGGTAATGACCTTGCAATCTGAAATAATACAAATATATTTTAGGTCTGAGCTCCACCACTTAACTAGCCATGTGATCTTGATCAAGTTATTTAACTTCTCAGTTTCTTATATAATTAGATTCTAACTGGCTCTATTTCACAGATTTATTAGGACTTAATAAAATAGTCATAATAAAAAAATTAATACAGGGCTGGGGTTGTGGCTCAGTGACAGAGCACTTGCCTCGCATGTATGAGGCACTGGGTATCAATCTTCAGCATCACTTAAAAATAAATAAACAAAATAAAGATATTGTGCCCATGTATAACTAAAAATAAATAAATAAATAAAATTAAAAATTAATACAATGCCTGATACATAGTGAAAAATTAAATACAGATTGGCTAATAATTTTTATTTTGGCATGTTAAGAATAAGATTTGTCCATTAAGCAAAAATAAGGGTGATTTTCAAACTTGAAGAAGCATCACATGACTGTAGAGTACCTTAAATGTAACTCAACACCTACCTAAATTCAAAAATGTCCTTAAGTTTTTAGCTACAACAAAACAAAACAAAACCACAGAGATAATTAAGCATACATGAAAGGCTCCTTTGAGAAGAAGTATAATCAAAGTTCCATCAATGGACCAATTGTGATCTACATATATTAACATAATCCAATGYAAGGTTAATAAGGCCAGGTGAAGTCATTTGAGTACCTATGATTTCTAACTTTTTGACGTTCCTTTTGTAATGCACAAAAAATTAAGAGAAGAGAAAAATGTTTAAAATATCAAGGTCAGTAGAGGAGGGAAAATCATGATGCTGAACAGTAGACTGAGTCAGGAAAAATGCAGTAAAATAAAGTGTTGTAGAAATATAAAAAAAAAGTAAAGTAATTACATCATAAAATATCCATTGAAATAATTCATAAATTGTAAAATTCTGCTCAAAACGTAAGAGATGTAACAATGGTTTATTTTGTGTTAAATATGTCCTGGTGTGAAAGTATTTAACACAAGAATAATATTTTCTATACCTATCAGTAAGACAGAAAGATAAAGTTCCTTTCTTTGCTTTTTTTTTTTAAAGTCATACATTTTTTGTTTGTTTGTTTAAAGACTTTTTTTTTTTAATTTTAGAGACTATTTAAACTTCTGCATGGCTGACATTTGAAAGAATTAGCTGAATGTAATTATTTGTCTAATTGAGGGGTACTTTTTAATAGAATATGAGAAAGAATTGTGGCTAGAACATTTCTGATATGGATACTTTAGAGTTTGTATAAAATTGATGTGGGCCAGGTGTGGTGGTAACATGCCTGTAATCCCAGTGGCTAGGGAGACTAAGGCAGGAGGATCAGGAGTTCAAAGCCAACCTCAGCAATTTAGCAAGGCCCTAAGCAACTTAGTGAGACCCTGTCTCTAAATAAAAAATACAAAGGGCTGGGGATGTGGCTCAGAGGTTAGAAAACTCCTGGGTTCAATCCCTGGAACAAAAAAAAGAAAAATATGAGTGCTCTTATCATCAGTCATAAATGCATACTCAAGGCATTCTTTTAATGTGAGAGCAGTACTGTTGCCATCCCCATGGAGTTTCCTTTGTTTACACATATAAAGAAGAGAGCAGGTATTTTTACCAGTCTTTTTGTTAGATATATTAACTTATTTCAAGATCTTAAGAACAACAAGGAAATTTGTAATCAACATTTCTCCTCTTATAATTTTCTGATTTCTAATCACAAATGTAATTTATATATGAAACCATGAACCCCATTATTATGTATAATTATAAATCACCAATGAAATGATGAAATAAATAAAATAAAGTCATCTACATACAAAATTGTAATTTATAGCAGCAAATTTTTTAAAAGAAATTAAAGATTTCTTTTAAATGCTTGTTTGGACATCCAAAAACTACAGAAAAAAATAATAAATAAAAGCCAAAATTGAAAAAAAAAAAAAAAACAAGGCCAGGTGAAGTGGTGCATGCTTGTAATCCCAGTGATTAGTGAGGCTGAGGCAGGAGGACTGCAAGTTTGAGGCCAGACTCAGCAACTTAKCAAGGCTCTAAGTAACTAAGCAAGACCCCATATCAAAGAAAAAAAAAAAATAAAAAGGCAAGTACCAAAAACAAACAAACAAAAAACCAATGCAAGGTTCGTATTCATAGCTTTAAGTCTTTACGCAAATGTAATTTGGATGCTTGAAACAAGAAAACTGTTCAAATTATTCTGAGGAAAATGAAACATTATAGGAGTCAATACACAATTTCTGGATCTTCTCAAGATGACTCATTTAAGAATCGGGGAAACCAAGGTTTTACTTTTTTCTTTGATTCTTTTTTTTTTTTTTTTAGTTTTAAAATTTAAATACAGAATTTAGGATCTGTGGAAAGGAGATGAGTTTTTTTAAAAATAAATACTTTTTTTTCTTAAAGTAAAGCAGACTAGGATATATATATATATGTGTTTTGGATGTGCTTCTCAAGAATAAAACAGTGATGAGAATTAATAAATTATACAGTCTCTACCAACTATCTCTGCTAGAAAAACAGGCATCAACAAGACAGGTGCACCTCCTTCTTTGAAACCACTGTTTAACAGAGGAGGAAAAAAAAAATAACCACAAAACTACAGTTTAGTGTGGTAAGGACTGAAATAGTAAAAGTATAGAGTGCTATGGGTAAACAGCAAGGACACTAAAGTTCAAAGATTAACTACATAAAGGAGACTGTATGCAAATCATGGAACATTTCTTCAGATTTCACCTACCTTTCCACCAACATCCTGAAGAACTATATTTTCAGGTTTTAGATCTCGATGTATAATTTTGTTTTCATGCAAATATCGGATCCCAGACCCTAAATAAAGTTTAGAATGTATTTTAAAGTAAGAGAAAATACTGAGTTAAAAAAAAAAAAAACTTCACACAGCTCTGATCTGATGTTCAAAATTATATGCACCATCATAGCTGTATCAGAGCACTTCAGATTTTTTTCCACAGAAAATACAGACACATTAAACAAATGATTTAATCATAATAAATTATAATATGTGCTCATTTAACTTATTAAAATTAACATTAAAAGAAATGAAATAATCAATTGAGAAAATTCCTACAACCTGCATGGCCCTTTCTCCCACCTAAGTCACCCTTTTCACCTAGACTTTGGTCTCCCTGGCCTAGGAAAAGAAGCAAAACCAAAACATATAGAAAACTTAATCTTGGCTTTTGTACTTCCTCTAATAGCATAGGTACTATTATTTTAGGGATTTTTCAGGAGTAATTCTGATTAAACAGAGAATTTCAATCTAAGACTAACTTGAGGATATATAGTTCCCAAAGAGTTGCAATTCCACTGTGAACAAAATTACTATGTCAATTGGGAATGGAGGCARTAAAAATGAATAAGGTCATTTCACACAATATTTTGTCAGCAATTAGAACATCTATGAGCCAAGAAAAGATTCTTTAACAATAGTAACAAAATATCCTAGTTTTAATTTAGTACTAATAGTAACAGTTTTTTGACAAATTCTTATAGACATTAAAAAGCCATATGTTGCTGGGGATGTGGCTCAAGCGGTAGCACGCTCGCCTGGTATGCGTGCTGCCCAGGTTCGATCCTCAGCACCACATACCAACAAAGATGTTGTGTCTGCCGAGAACTAAAAAATAAATATTAAAAATTCTCTCTCTCTCTCTCTCCTCTCTCACTCTCTCTTWAAAAAAAAAAAAAGCCATATGTTTTGTATAGTGTATCAGCAATTTTTAATTCCAAAGCAGTATACATAATCTTTTATGGACCCAGAGGTACTAAATTACAATGATATTTTAATATTGATTACATACCTATATCACTCAGTAAAGAAAGTATTTGGCTTTCTTTAAGTCCACAACAATTTTCTGGTTTGTTGAGTAGCTTTAAAAAAAAAAAAAGTCTAAAATTGTGTACTGCAAATTGCTGGGCAACAACAGCAACACATATTAGTCAACATACTCTGAAGAGAATATTGAAATGAGAAAATAAGACATGATAAAGAAAGTGAAAGAAGGGAAAAAAATCATCAAACATAGTAAGGATATGTTTCATTTATGTGGACAAGGCTCATTAAAGTAAAGATAAAGGTCCAAAAGTATGTAAAATTGAAAAAGATTGACAAATGTGTGTGTCTCTCTCTCTCATATACACACACACACACACACACACACACACACACACTCTCCCATGAGAGTGTGTATGTATGTATGTATATCATATATACACACACACACACACACACGTATATATATTCATAAGGACATATTTAAAATGAGATAGGAAATAAAGATTGTAATAGAAAAAATACTTTTATAATAAGCACTTTAAACATTTAACACTAACACTACTGACATAGTCTCATCTTGCAAACAACAACAAAAATTCATGTTCTATAGAAGTTCATTGGACTAGACAAAGGGGAATGAAAGGAAGGGAGAGGGGATAGGCATAGTAAAGACAGTAGAATGAATCAGATACAACCTTTCTATGTTCATATGAATACATGACCAGTGTAACTCCATATCATCTTCAAACACAAGAATGGAATCCTAATTAGAATAAGTTATACTCCATTTATGTATGTCAAAATACACTCTACTGTTATGTATAAAAAGAACAACAACAAATWAAAAAATCCATGTTCTAAACCTAGAGTGAGCAAATATTTTCTGTAAAGGGACAGATAGTAAGCACTTTAGTTGTTGCAAGCCATATGGTTTCTGTCACAACTACTTAAAATTCTGCAGCTGCAAGAAAGAAGCCATAGACATGAGCATGGTTCCAGTAAATTTTATTTACAAAACAGGTAACAGGCCATAGTTCTCTGTTCCTTATTCTAGATTACCATATTGGATATGATTCAAACAATCCTCAAATTTGTGACTTACAATATCATCATCTCAAAATATCCATACTACCTTCCGAAGATCTCCTCCAGAACAGTATTCCATTGCTAGAAGAGGTACATCATTTATTAAAAAATTCAATTCCTCAGGAACATCACAGGCCTTTACAACATTGGGATGGTTCAACCTAAAAGAAAGGAAAAATACTAAAATCAAAACAATTTTTCCAATGAATAGGAACTAGATTTGAAGTGGTAATTAGAGATGGGAATGAGATAAGGAAGGAAGACTGGCATTGTTTATAAAATTCTAATTTATGATTTATGTAATTAAAAATTAGTAATCTTTAGGAGAAAAAATATACATGAAGATACTATCACTGTTATTATTAGATTTATGTGTGTCAAGCAGTAAGCACTTTACATATAATTAATTCATTTGCTTGTCAAAATAATCCTAATAAAAGTAGATGTATTAAAAGTTTTATCACACAGAAGAAAAATTGAAGCACAAATTGGTTAAGTAATGTAAGATTACATAGCAAGTTCTCAATAAGGATTCAAAATCTGGCAGTTCAGGCTCCAAGGCCTATTTCATACTGCCTTTCCCATAATCACTTACAGTGTCACCCAAAAATAAATACTAATAAATTTGGGCATATTTCCTTACATTTCTAAATCTGTGCACAAACACAAGACTTTCAGTAAATTCAGAATCACAATGTCTTCCATTGGCTTTTAAAAAAAAATTTATTTATCACCATTCCTTTCATCATCATCATGCAATGGATTCCAAAACCAGTATGGATTCCTGTCTTAGGACCTAAAGAAATAAAATCTCCATATGTAAGCTTAAGAATTCGTATTATTAAGCATTCCTGGTGATTTTGCCACATAGCCAATTTTGAAAATCATAAAAATGAAATAAGCAAAACACTAGTCAGAAAATACTTGTTTCAAATTCAGAATACCACTAGTGTGACTACACGGAGTTCAACTTCCTCATCTATAAAACATGGATAAGATATTAGGGATCCAAGATGGTGGGCCAGAGGGAGGCAGCATTCTGTGTTGCTCTGTGACCTGGGGCTCAAGTAGTGAGAATACTGCTTCTCTGTGAGTGGGCGCAAGAATCATGGCCACCATGCGGTCCAGGGCTCCAGGGCTCAGCATCAGAGTAGGTCTCGCAACTGCTCACCCAGGACTACCAGGTACCCGAGTGGGAACATCAACATCAGCACCCTCGAAAAACTTTTGGCCACCCACCCGAGCAGAAATCACAAACGCCACTCCCATGCAGGACACCCGGCAGCTTCCCACACACTGGAACTCCAGCCGCCATTCCTGTGTGGACCCCATCTACCAATGTGGGGCTCCCCCATCACCTCTATCTTGGGACTCTGCAGCAGCAATGATAGTTCCATACGCACAGTAGCCTGCCTGCACTCAAGAACTTCACACGGGCTATGAAGTTAGCAGACAGACACACTGCAAGTCACGGAGCTCCTCTCTGAACTGATCATCCAATGCCATCACCTGGCTCCCCCCACCCGATCTGACACCCCATCCCTGAAAGCAACCACTTCCATCTTGGGACCTTCATCACCATCTTTAGTGGGGGCAACTCCCAGTTTGGAACTCCAGCTGGCCAGTTTCTAACTCCCCGCTCTCCCCAGCATCGGCTAACCTGGCACAGTGAATGCCCAACACAAAACAGTTATCAGCAAGTACAGAGTGCACCCAAAGCACCACACTCAAGAGCCTGGAAGAGAAAGGTCCCTCATTAGGAAGTAGTAAAGGAGAGGGTGAGTGTGATCCAGTTTAGAGACTAACACAGAGACCAGGAACTTGGAGATCTTCAGGTGAGAAAAGAAGAAGGACCAGGTCCTCACATCACACGAGTAGGCCCAAAAAGAGATCCTTGAGGTGTAGTCTCCCTTTGGGGATTGGCAGGTCACCCACCCCACTTCCAGGGATCATCCAACCAGGACCAACCCTCCCACCCTGGTTACCTTCACCATCCTGACAGTGGAGACTCCAGCTAACAAAAGACAACCCCCACCTACTGGATGAGAAGGGAAGCAGGAAAGACACTGATCGAAAACCAAAATAATCCCTGTTTCTTCCTTCAAGATTTTTTTTCTTCTCCCTCTCTATTCTCCTGCTCTCACATCCCCAGTATATGTGAAACCAAGTACTTTTGCATGAATTAGGATTTTGAGGGCTGGGATGTCTGAATAGTATATTACAGACGTGTTGTATATTCTTTGTTTGTTCATGTTTTTTTCTCCCACCAATTTTTACTATTTTAACATTTTTTATTTTTCTTAATATTTATGTGTGTTTGTTTTAGGTACTCTACTGTCTTCTCACTTACTTGTCTACCCAAATTACTTCCTCTCTCTTCTGCTACTAATCTTCCTCTTTAGATTTCTCTTTCACACTTTCTAAGATATAAGAACTCTATATCCTCACCTCCTACCTCCTCAGCATATCATCCTACTCCTCACCCCGGTTCTTTGTCCACCATCAGAAACTGTAAACCCTTTTACAAACCTACTGAGTATATTGTAGATAATACTTGAATTCACCATTTCTGTACATTGTGACCAAACTATAAATGTCTTAATAGCAAATGTTTACTTTTAGGGTGTATATTGTTTATATTGGGAGCTGTTAACATTGTCCTTCACCTCAAAGGAGAGGTACTGGAACCCTACAGGGGCACTATAAGCCTATAGGGTAAAACAGTAACACCTGGGATCCATAGAGGTAGCAGGAAAGACACACAAGCAATATGAAAAGACAAAGGAAGAAAGTGCCCCAAACAAATCAAGATATCACATTATTAGAATTCATGGCCAGCACAATAAAAGAAATGACAGAGAAGGAGTTCAGGATGTACATAACTAAAATGTTCTGTAAACTAAAGTATGAGTAAATACATGAAGCAAAAGATCATTTTGACAAAGAGTTACACAAATACAGGAAGCAAAAGATTACTTCAATAGGGAGATAGAGGTTCTAAAAAAAAACCAAACAGAAATCCTTGAAATGAAAGAAACAATAAACCAAATTAAAAGTTCAAATGAAAGCATCACCAACAGATTAGACCATATTATTAGACCATAATAACCCTGAATGTTAATGGCCTAAACTCACAAATCAAAAGACACAGACTGGCAGATTGGATTAAAAAAATAAATAAAGACCCGACAACATGCTATCTACAAGAGATTCATCTCATAGGAAAAGACATCCACAGAATGAAGGTGAAAGGTGGGGGGAAATCATACCACTCACATAGACTGCGGAAGCAAGCAGGGGTTTCCATCCTCATATCAAATAAAGTAGACTTCAAGCCAAAGTTAATCAAAAGGCATAAAGAAAGATATGTCATACTGCTTAAGGGAACCATTCATTAACAAGCCGTAACAATAATAAATTTATATGCCCCAAACAGTGAAGCATCTATGTTAATCAAATTCTTCTCAAATGCAAGAGTCAAACAGACCACAACACAATAATTCTGGGGGACTTTAACATACCTCTTTCACCACTAGACAGATCATCCAAACAAAAGCTGAACAAAAAAACTACAGAACTGAAAAATGAATATAACTTAACTGACATATACAGAATATTTCATCTTTCAATGAATGGAAAATACACTTACTTCTCAGCAGCACATGRATTCTTCTCTAAAATAGACCATATACTATGCCACAAAGCAACTCTTAGCAAATATAAAAAAGTAGAGATATTACCCTGCATTCTTTCAAATCATAATGTAATGAAATTAGAAATCAATAAAATAAAAACTACTCCATCACCTGGAGACTAAATAATATGCTACTGAATGAACAATGGGTTGCAAAAGACATCAAGGAGGCGATTAAAAAATTCTTAGAATGAGAACAGATGCAATGTATAGAAATCTCTGGGACACAATGAAGGCAGTTCTTAAGAGGAAAGTTCATTGCATGGAGTTCATTCTTTAAAAGAAGAAAAAGTCAACAAATAAATTACTTAACTTTACATCTCAAAGCCCTAGAAAAAGAACAAATTAACACAAAAAGCAGTAGAAAACAGGAAAAAATTAAAATCAGAGCTGAAATCAATGAAATTGAAACAAAAGAAACAAGTGAAAAAATTGACAAAACAAAAAGTTGATTCTTTAGAAAAATAAATAAAATTCACAAATCCTTAGCCATGCTATTGAAGAAGAGACAGAAAACTCAAATTACTAACATACATGATGAAAAAGGAAATATCACAACAGACACTACAGAAATATAGAAGATAATTAGAAATTATTTTGAAAACTTTTATTCCAATAAAATAGAAAACATCTAAGACATTGACAAATTTCTAGAGTCATATGATTTCCCCAAATTGAATCAGGATGATATGTACAATTTAATCAGATCAATTTCAAGCAATGAAACAGAAGATGCCATCAGAAGCCTACTAAAAAGCGAGGGAACAGATGGATAAACAGCTGAGTTCTACAAGACCTTTAAAGAAGAACTAATACCAATACTCTTCAATTTATTTCAGGAACAGAAAAAGAGGGAGCACTTCCAAACTCATTCTATGAGGCCAATATCACCCTGATTCCAAAACTAGGCAAAGACATATCAAAGAAAGAAAACTTCAGACTAATATCTCTTATGAACATAGATGTAAAGATTTTTAATAAAATTCTGGCAAATTTAACACAAAAAAATATCAAAAAGTAGTGCACCACGATCAAGTGGGGTTCATCCCAGGGATGCAAGGTTGGTTCAACATATAGAAATCAATAAATGTAATTCATCACATCAAAAGACCTAAAGATAAGAACCATATGATCAGCTCAATAGATGCAGAAAAATCATTTGACAAAATACAACACCCCTTCATGTTCAGAACTCTAGAAAAACTAAGGATAACAGGTACATATCTTGACATTGTGAAGCCCCAGACTAACATCATTCTAAATGGAGAAAAATTAAAAACATTCCCTTTAAAAAGTGGAACAAGACAGAGATGCCCTCTTTCACCACTTCTATTTAACATAGTTCTTGAAACACTGGCCAGAGCAATTAGATGCAAGAAATTAAAGGGATTCAGATAAGAAAAGAAGAACTCAAATTAGTACTATTTGCTAACAATCGATTCTATACCTAGAAGATCCAAAAAATTCCACCAGAAAACTTCTAGAACTAGTAAATGAATTCAGCAAAGTAGCAGGATACAAAATCAACACCCATAAATCAAGGAATTTTTGTATATCAGTGACAAATCCCGTGAAAGGGAAACAAGGAAAACTACCCCATTTACAACAGCCTAAAAAAAAACCCAAACAAATAAACAAAAAACCCCAAATACTTGGGACTCAACCTAAGAAAAGAGGTCAAAGACCTCTATAACAAAAACTACAGAATGCTAAAGAATGAAATTAAAGAAGACCTTAGAAGATGGAAAGATCTCCCTTGTTCTTAGATAGGCAGAATTAATATTGTCAAAATGACCATACTACCAAAAGCATCATACAGATTTAATGTAAATTCAATCTAAATTCCAATGACATTCCTCATAGAAATAGAAAAAGCAGTCTGAAATTCATCTGGAAAAATAAGAGACCCAGAATAGCAAAAGCAATCCTTAGCAAAAAGACTGAAGCAGGTGGCATCATCAGACCAATAGTAACAAAAACAGCATAGTATTGGCACCAAAACAGACTGGTAGACCAATGGTACAGAATAGAGGACACAGAGACTAACCCACATAATTACAGTTATCTTATATTAGACAAAGGCATCAAAAAACACACATTGGAGAAAAGATAGCCTCTCCAACAAATGGTGCTGGGAAAACTGGAAATCCATATGCAACAAAATGAAATTAAACCCCTATCTCTCACCATGCACAAAACTGAACTCAAAGTGGATCAAGGACCTAGGAATTAAACCAGATACCTTTGTGTAATAGAAGAAACAGTAGGTCTAAATCTCCATCATATTGAATTAGGCCCCTACTTCCTTAATAAGACTCCTATAGTGCAAGATTTTAAATCAAGAATCATTAAATGGGATGGATTCAAACTAAAAAGCTTCTTTTCAGTAAAAGAAACAATCAGTGAAGTGAACAGAGAGCCCACAGCTTGGGAGCAAATTTTTACCACTTACACATCAGATCAAGCACTAATCTCTAGGGTATTAAAAAAACTCAAAAAGCTAAACACCAAAATAACAAATAACCCAATTAATAAATGGCCAAGGAACTGAACAGACACTTCTCAGAATGTGACATACAATCAATCAACAAATTTATGAAAAAATGTTCAACACTTCTAGCTATTAGAGAAACGCAAATCAAAACTACTCTTAAGATTTCATCTCACTCCAGTCAGAATGGCAGCTATTAAGAATACAAACAACAGTTGGCGAGGATGTTGGGAAAAAAGGCACACTCATACATTGCTGGTGGGACTGGACTGCAAAATGGTGCAGCCAAAATGAAAAGCAGTATGGAGATTCCTTGGGAAACTGGGAATGGAACCACCATTTCACCCAACTATTCCACTCCTCAGTCTATACCCAAAGGACTTTAAAACAGCATACTACAGGGGCACAGCCACATCAATGTTTAATGCAGCACAATTCACAATAGCTAAACTGTGGAACCAACCTAGAAGCCCTTCAGTAGATGAATGAATAAAGAAACTGTGGTATATATACACACACAATGGAATATTAGTCAGCAATAAAAGAGAATAAAATTGTGACATTTGCAGGTAAATGGACAGAGGTGGGGAATATAATGCTAAGTAAAGCTAACCAATCCCAAAAAAACAAATGCTGAATGTTTTCTCTGTTATAAGGAGGCTGATTCTTAGTGAGTTGGGAGGAGGAGTATGGGAGGATTAGAAAAACTCTAGATAGGGCAAAGGGGTGGAAGAGGAAAGGTGGGGGCATGAGGGTAGAAAAGACGGTGGAGTGAGGTGGTCATCATTACCCTAAGTACACATATGAAGAACAAATGGTGTGACTCTACTTTGTGTACAATTAGAGATATGAAAAATTGTGCTCTATATGTGTAATATGAATTGTAATGAATTCTGCTGTCATATATAACAAATTAGAATAAAAAATTTAAAAATATATGGATAATACCTAAATCCAGGGTTATGGTGATAACTATTGGAATGATCTAAAGCACACTACCTGGAGAAGTTTAAAATATGTCCACTTTTCCCTTTAAGAGCTTAATTCTCCTCTCCTTATATATATACTATCCTTAGTGACTCATTTCTAACAAACAATGCAGTGGAAAGAATAAACTGTAACTTCCAAGGAGATTTCATAAAAGATATGCCAACTTTCATTTTGTTCTCTCTCACTGAGCACTTGCTCTGGAGAAGTTAGTTGCCATGTTAGGACGATGTTAATTCTTCCCTATGGAGAGGCCTACGGTAAGAAATTGATGCTTCTGGCCAATAGTTACATAAGTGAGCTTGGCAGCAATTACTTCAGCCCTAGTCAATGGATGATACAGCTCCAGTCAACATTTTGAGGTCTCTCAGGACAGATCCTGACCTACAACCACAGAGCTAAGCCACAGAAACTGAAAATACTAAATGTTTATAGTTTTAAATCACTAAATTTGGGGATAATTTTTTTTTTTTTACAAAGCAATACATATACTATTTAACAAAAGTAGGTATAAAAGAAATGAGGACAGTGAAAGTTAATATATGAGCATTGCCCAAGGCCCAAAAGAAAAAAACTCTACCTTCAGAGAGCTCAATCTGATACCTAACTTACTTTTTAAACTTAAGCTTTCTTAATCATAACATACTATTGTCTGAAATAGAATACATATATTTAATGACAGAGAGAAAAATGTGTTCCCAAAAAGATCCTGAGAAGAGTAGATCCTTAGCCTCCTTCCTTATAATAACAATGATTGGGCTGCAGAATGAAGAAATAGAAATCATTGAGTACACTTACTTCTTCATGATCTGGATTTCATGGCACCACCGTTCTCTGTTTTTTGTACTTAGTTCTAGGCGGCAAGACTTAATTGCTATTTTGTGATCAAGATCCTGGAAAATAAAAAATAACAGTCAAAATAAATTAGGTTCTTGTGAAGATTTGTCTGTATCAAAGAAATGCCAACCCAGGGAAACAACACTCTTTTTAACTTCACTAATTAAACATATTACATTCACAGCTCCATTGAGCCAACACTTTGGTGAGATAAACCATGAGACTACTTACTAATCAATGCTTTCAGACCCTCAAATACATTACAGCACATAAACAAAAATTGAGGCTGATCCTATGATAGGTCTTTTCAGGATACAGTCTCATACATACTGCTAGAAAAATACAAGGATACTGTCTCTCCAACAAACCCTTTTTCTGACCTCAGTCAAGACAACTCTGGGATAAACAGGATAATTGAGAGCTCCCTGGTCTCAAAATAGAAAGAAACAGTTTTAACATGACTAAGCCTAATGAACAAAAACTCCAAAATTAGATCCTAATCTGTGCATTTCAAAAGACATGGGAAAATATCCTAATAATGATTAAACTACTGTTTCCATGCCTATAAAATAAACTGAAAATCTCTTGCTTATAAATAACTTAGCCAATTCTGACTGAAATTAAGCCCATTGTATTGTACATTAAAGGAAATAGTCTGACCTCATCATACTGTGGTAACACTAATAATATAACCCAGAATCAGCAATCAGGGCCAAACATGTTACAATATGTTTCAGATATTGTGAGAAGAGTTCAAAAAACTCCCCAAATCTGTAATCTCTGAGTTGTACTATAAGGTGTGCATGAATAGAGAGAACTCCCAGGGACTAGGAAGATAGAAAAACTTTAAAGGCAGGGAAGCAAGACATAGCTTGGATGGGACAGTCTGAATTGGGAGCTTGGTAGGGGGAAAAGGCTAACATGATAGCTGATAATGTGTAGAGAAAGAAGAAAGGAAATAGGACACATTATAAGTCAGCCTAACCACAATACTCATTTCCTTCCACCTTTCATTATAAGCAGGGACCTGGTGGTAAAGTTTTTCTACCATGAACACTATCTGGCACAGCCATGAACAACATTAAGCCCTGAATTTTCTTATGAATAAGGCAGGAAGTTATTTTATTTCAAGAAGAGCCCACCACATAAGATCTTTCAACTCCTCAATTTGTAGTTCACCTAATCAGTGAAATTCTACCTCTTCACAAAAAATATTCTTTGGAAAGTTTATACATGCTGAGCCAAAAAGAAGAAGAAGAAAAAAAACTTCTGTGTTTAAAAAAAACTGGAATAGCCAGGTATGGTAGCACACACCTGTAATCCAAGTGTCTTTGGAGGCTGAAGCAGGAGGATCACGAGTTTAAGGCCAGCCTCGGCAACTTAGCGAGGCCCTAAGCAGCTTAGCAAGACCTTGTCTCAAAATTACAAAAATAAATAAATAAATAAATAAATAAATAAATAAATAAGGCAGTGGGGGGGGGGCATGGATATGGCTCAGTGGTTAAGTACCACTGGGTTCAATCCCTGGTACCCCCCAAAATGTACAAATCAAAACCAACTTTGAAACAACAAGTGGAATAAGTGAGCACAGTGGTGTGCACCTCTAGTCTGAGCTACTTGGGAATCTGAGGCAAGAGGATCATGGTTCAAGACCAGTTAAGGCAGCACAAGACAGAAACTATATTTAAAAAAAAAAAAAAAAACTTGGAATATTGTGAGGGATAGCAGTGATGGTAATACAATATAAATGTACTTAATACAACAGAACTATACTTTTTTTTTTACTCTAGACATTTTTATTTGGCATATGAGAACTATACTCTTAAAAATGGTTAAACTAAATTTTACACTATATATATATTTTTATAATAAAAAATTAGAAAATACTAATCCAAAATTGTTTCTTTAATTTTTGGAGCTTTTAATATGCTAATTTGATTTTGAAACTCAAAGAAATATTGCATTTACCCAATGTATTTAAACAAAGCAAAGTCATCCTCCATGTGTGAAAGATTGGTTCCAGGAGTTCCAAAGGATACCAAAATCTGTAGAATGTAGTATATAAAAAAACATAGTATTTGTGTATAACCTATGTACATCCTCCTGTATACTTTAAATCATCTCTAGATTACTTATGAAACCTAATACAATGTAAATCCTATGYAGCTGCTATATTGTATTATTTGGGTAATAGGGACAAGAAAAATGTCCACATGTGTTCAGTATGAATGCATTTTTTTCTCAAATATTTTTAATCTGTGAATGGTTGAATCTATGAATGAAGTATTCATGGAGGGTCAACAACCGTTCCTTTCTTTTCTTTCTTTCTTTCATTTTTCTCCCTGCGTTGCTAGGCATCAAATCCCAGGGCCCTACACATGCTGCACAAGTGCTCTATCACTGAGCTGTATTCCCACCCACTGTATCCTTTATCTTTTTTCTGTATCCTTTCTTCAAAGTATCCCATGGAATTAGATTTTCCAAGCATACTTTGAGAAATGCTATCCTGTTCCCTAGGAAGAATTCTTTAGTTCCTCAATTCTTTTGTTCCTCATTCATTTGTAAATATTCTCATTATATAAGGTACCACATTGTACTTTGTTTCTATGACCATCTCTCTCATTAGACTTGAAATCTCCTTGTTGATCTTGAAACTATCAGCACCCAGTACAGTAATTACCTAAATAAACCATCTCCTATCCTTTCTTATTCCTCCTGGAGCTTTGACAGGTATGGATGAAATCTTGGACATAGTTTCCACTAAAAGATGAGTATACTGAAAGCTGTAAATGCAAACCCTAAGTCAAGCTTAGAAGAGAAAGGATCCTGTTTCCAAGTCTTACAGATTATTGCTTTTCTCCTTACTACAGGTCTGTTGTCAAATGTCCTAGTTTGAGGGAAGAGCACTCTGATCAATTGGAAAGGCCCTGAGAGATTTCTAAGAGTTTAGGGAGCCCAAATCTCTTCCATTTAAAAAGTGATGGATTTCATAGAGATGAAAAGTAGAATGTTGTTGCCAGGGGCTGGGTAAGGGGAAAATGGGGAGTTATTGTTTAATGGGTATGAAGTTTCAGTCTGGGAAGGTAAAAAGGTTCTGGAAATGGATGATGATGTAATGGATGCACATCAATGTGAAGTACTTAATGCTACTGAACTATACACTTGAAATGGTTAAAATGATAAATTTTATGTTAAGTATTCTTTACCACAATAATTTTTAAAAAATGATAAATTTGTCCATCCATTCTCAGCCAGGGGCCAGGAGAAGCAGTCACCAAAACATGTCAGCAAGCATACTTTTTTCCCTTATGACCAGGCTGATGGGCATACTTAGACAACACATGTAACATTATATTTGAAGTATATGTCTCTCCTTTTTTAAATTAATTTTCTTTTGAGTGCACTATATTCCTTAAATCTACTACTTTACTGAAACAGTATTTAATGCCTTAGTCCTTCCAGTCTTTCTCCAAGATTGCCTCCTATACTTGATCTTGAAACCTGCTTCACAAAGTTTCCTCAGTTTTGTCATTCTAATTGCCTCAAAAACATGCCTATTCTCCCAATATGGACTTCTATCTCCTCTTCAGCCAACCCCAAATGGGAGTCTCTACCCACACCCATGTTCCTTAAAAAAAAAATTATAATCTCTCTTTTGGATTCACTTCTCTATTTGTAAACCAAATAGAAGCATTTTAGTAGTACCTTAACTGCCAACCTTATCCCATGTTTTTCCAATCAAATTTATCCTTTACAAAGTGAATTTTCCTAGAACACAATTTTTACTTGGACATTTCCTTTTAAAGGTCAGTTAATGATTATGAAAAGTATTAAAATCAACAATAAAGCAGCATCAAGAACCAACCGATGAATGTTTCCATGGGCCAAATATTTAGCTTTACATATATTACTATTATATTTAACTTTTAAACAGACCCAGGATGTATAAATGTCATCACACCCGTTTTACAGATAAAGCAAAAGCTATACTGCACACATTATTAGTTCAGGATCTATTAACCTAAAATGTACTTCAGGAAAGCACAAACCCTTCAAGTGGTCATGCATCAAGTTGTGCAGATGTGCCTCTTTGCATTTTTTTTCTGAGGAAAGGGTTCATAACTTTTATTGATACATCAAATGARACTCAAACATGATTAACTGCTGTTACAATGGTTAAACATTTTCAATTAAGTCAAAGTATATTTCCTGACTCTAATGTTAGCTGTCTCCCACAGAATAGTGTCTCCCTCCTCCCTGCTTTCAATCTCTCTTCTCTTTGGGACCATAACCATTTTCACCAGCTTACCCTCATACCTTTCCCAACCTGGAATGCACGATTCCAAAGTCTACCAATGGCTTCCAAAAGTTTAACTCTTGACTCACAGGAAGCCTTCCTTGTATTGCAGTCTCCACTGCTAGTACAGCTTTCAACCACTGGCATGCACATGCACGCGCGCACACGCACACACACACACACACACACACACACACACTGCAACAGGCAGCCTGCCCCCAGTCCCACTTTTTCACCCATTCATGCTCACATATACACACTCTGATGTTCATCTGCCTCACACGCCCTGAGACTCTACATTCACATACAGACACATAAGCATTTGTCACACTCACGAAACAGCCGGTCACATCTTGACACTCAGAGCAAAGTTCTTCCTAATGGCTCTAGCTCGCCACATTGCCCCAGAACCTCAGATAACAACCTTGGACTCAGTCACCCAGGCTCAAAAGCACAGTATCTCACACTCACAAACCCTGGCTCACAAATACTGGCCAAGGTCTCACCGACAATCTCACACATTGACAGCCCTGAGCTCCACAGACGCTATGACAAAACCACCGCCACTCCCTCTAGAGCCCCGCCTCACCCGATGCTGGTACAGACAAACATTTCCGAAGCCGCCGGTGCCAAGCCGCTCCCGCATCTCCCAGGGCCCGCCCGCGCCCGGCCGCAGCCCCGGGGGCCGCTCCATGGGGCGGGAGGGCAAGCGGCCTCAGGCTCCGCASCCGTTCCAAGGCCGGTTCCGGGCCGCCGAGGCTCGCGCGTCTTTCTCCTCGCGAGACCTATGCGTCACTTCCGGTAACTGCCGCGGGAAAAGCCCCGCCCCAGCTATGCCTGGATACCAGGGGTGCCCTGCTGGCTAAAGCGTGCGGAGATTGGCAGGGCGCTTCCAGTTGGCCCTCTTTAGTGTCCTGGGCATTTTTCCTAGTCGAGAGGACCCACTTGTGTTCTAGACTCAAAAGTATAGGATCTGTTTAGACCCTACATTCCCTTCAAGTCACATCCCAAACAAGTCTCTTCCGTATTTTCTAAACTTCGCATTGTCTCCACCCCTATGTACATTTCTCCTTTATTTAAATACCTGCCATCTATTCTCCAATCCCATCACCCGCTGAGCCGGCACTGGCAAATGCTACCAATGATTGTATAGTGCGGAATCSAAAGAATACTGTGCTAAAAGGTCCACTGATTGATGCGTTAGACTTAATAACTTTCTATACGCCAGTTGCAGGAGCTCCCCTATAATCCCAAACAACTCAAATGTGTGACGTTATTCCGGAGTAAAGAATGTTCTTCSGGACTTTGTGAACTTCCCTAAATGTCTCACGGAGCTTGCTGTCAGGAAGTCCTTCCGTTATGGGTTTGCCACAGTGATGGCTCATTGTGGGAATTGTTTCTGCAAAGACAAGCTTTAGGAATGCCCTTGGTGCAACAGGAAGTACTTCTAAGTGGCAGATTGCATAGGGGAACCAGCTCTGTTCTTCATTTGAGTTCAGTCATCTGCTTCAGGGAAACTAGGGATCTCAATTTACTGGTATAAGAAACAGGAAATCAAATTCTCAAAAGAAATGTCAGTGCAACCAGAATGTTGAACACCGCATGATACATAGCAAGCTGATGTGGAATATCCATCACAGTTGGTATGGGAGATGCTGGTTTCCATACTTGGGCAGTTTACATGGAACTGGAATAAAATAGAATCTCTCAGAACACTTCCCTTAAAGCTGGGCAGACCATAAAGAAGATTATGGTACAGACTGTCATGACACTATGAAGGCCTCTCCTTTGTTGTGTATACAGCCTAGTGGTGCTAGAGTGTTTCCAGTCTTCATAAGTCAACCCCATAAAGTCTTATTCAGAAGAGCTGGGACCCCAGTCAGGATATTGATGATCACTGACTTTAAAGTGGTCATTTTTGCAGAAATCAGGTTGGTTCCTATAATTCACTTTTAAAAACATTCCCATTATCAGAACATGGAACAGTTCAAGTTTTTAAAAAAATCCTAGACTGATTGACCCCAAGCTCAATGATCTTCAGATTTGCAAGCTTCATTTTTTCAGTGTAAGTAGAGGTGATGAATATTTCATAGAGATTTTATGAGGATTATCAAGTAAAGCTTTCTAGGTAATAAATGTCTGAAATATAGGAATGATTATTTTTCTTTTGGCTTCCAAGATGCTATATCCTGTGATCTCTCTGCTCCACCCCCATGTACTGTTGGATCACTGTTTCTAAACACTTCTTAAATYGTGGTCATCTTTAGCTAAGAACTGTATTCATCTTATCTTATTTTCATCCATACTCATGATTTCACTATGGTCTATATCCTGGTGATCCCCAAAGCCTTATCACTCAACCCAGATCTCCATGAATTTAGAATTTTACAAGAGTACAGTGAACACATTCATTAGACATTTCAAACATCTGAAATAGCATATTCAAAGCAGAATTCATTTTTTCATAAATCTGCTCATTCTCCTCCCAGTTAGACTGTAAATTCTGGATAACAGGCACCATATTGAGATACGATTATACCCTTAAGAGTCCAGAAAAATGCCTGGCACATAGGATTCAATTATCTGAAGAAGTGAAGGCTTCAAATGTTATGTAAGAAAAATAGCACAGGGCATGACAGTGGTGCAAGCCTTAATACCAGTAACTCTGGAGGCTGAGGCAGGAGAATCACAAGTTCAAGCAAATTAGTGAGATCTTGTCTCAAAAAATAAAAAGGGCTGGAGATATAGTTTAGTCGTGGAGTACACCGTGGTACAATCTCCAGTACTGGGGGGTGGCGGGGTGGATAGCAAGGCCCATGAGACCCTTCTCTACCCTGAATTGCTCAGGGAGAAACCACCCTGTATGATTGTGGACTAACAGCTGGGCCTAAAGCTCTGCCTTTTCTATTGCACATGCTACTTTGTTTCATTTCAATGGTCATAGGCAACATAAATACAAGACCCTTCTCAACCAGGGAAGATTTTATTTAATAGTTTAAGTTTTTGAAAATGTAGATAAACATAAGCTGTTCTTAGAGCTGGATAATAGATATGCTTTTAACATAGAATTTTAATCCTAGAATGATTTTTCTAAAACAAACAAAAAAAGAAAAGAGAAACAACTTCATTCCTAGGCCTCTTGCTGTAGGCAGGTTCCATGGGAATGCACAAAAGAGGCAGGGAAACAGTCCTTATGGAAGACTGTGAAAATTTCCTATGAGGTTCATCAAGTGCCCTTCTCTTCCCTTTGCTTATTCATCCAGAGTAAAGTCAAAGGGTTCAAAGTCTTTCCGGAAGCGACGAGCCAGAATCTCCTCTTCTTCCTTGCTTATTTGACACTGCCTCCAGTCAGACTTGTTAGGAATATTAAGAATAGCTTCACTGGCCAATACTTCCCTACAGAAAGAACAAAAAGAGGTCAAAATCAGAAATATTTGCCCTAAGCCCCCTCCTCCTTCCTTGGTCTTTCTCCAGTCAGACCCAACATCACCTAAAGAAACTATACATATTTCTCTGTCTGCTCATACTGTTCTCTGCCATCTTGTCTATCAAAATAATACCTATTTTAAGTGATCAGCTCAAGTCCTACCTCTTTCCTGATCCCTCATATCTCATTTACTTTTCCTTCTCTGGAACAACTTGAACTTATAATATTGGTACTTAGAGAGGCAACATGGAATAGTAGGAAGAGGGCAGGCACTGATGTCAGAAAGATCAGAGACTGGATTCCATTTCTAGCTCTGCCACTATAACCTGAACAGACTACTTCATCTCCTTAAGTCTTGATTTCCTCACCTATGAGAGGCAAAAAAAAGCACCTACCTTACAGGATTTTATGAGGTACAAAGGGGACAATCAAAATACTATATTATCTATGATCCTGCTTTAAACTGTAGTTTGGTCATCCCAACTAGAACATGAGTTTTCCGAGGCAGGTGCAGTCAGGTATTATAACTATTCTGACTTAAAATGCTTCTGCATCTTATTATAGGGGGGTCACACCTATATAGGCACACCAACACAAGCTCAATATGAAGAAAACAACTTATTTTGGTTCTCAAGACCAAAGATACATATACACAAGTTCCTTCTAATTTCTGTTGCTTTATATTTTTATTTATTTTTATACATTAGAAATAATTTTATGTTTCTACTTGGTTCATTTTCTACTGTGAAATTACAATAGAAGAGTTGGAAATAAATGATATGAGTCTTCTAAAAGTCAAAAGACCTGAGCTCAAGTTCTAGCTTCCTGAGCAAACCTCGTGCCTACTTCTTCATATGCAAAATGAAGACAGAACCACTATTCTTACACAGCTGAGGGGGATAAAATGGCTTTTCAAGGCACACACAAACATTATTGGTGGGACTGCAAATCGGTGCAACCACTCTGGAAAACAGTATGGAGATTCCTTAAAAACCTTGGAATAGAACCACCATTTGACCCAGCTATCCCACTCCTTGGTCTATACCAAAAGGACTTTAAAACAGCATACTACAGTGATGCAGTCACATCAATGTTCATAGCATCACAATTCACAATAGCCAAACTGTGGAACAAACCTTCTATAGATGAATGGATAATGAAACTGTAGTATATATACACAATGGAATATTACTCAGCAATAAAAGAGAAAAAAATTATAATATTTGCAGGTAGATGGATGGAGTTGGAGAATATCATGCTAAGCAAAGTAAGCCAATCCCCCAAAACCAAAGGCTCAATATTTTCTCTGATAAGTGAATGCTAATCCACAATGGGGAAGGGGCATGGGACAAGTGGATGAACTTTGGATTGGCGAAGGGGAGGGAGGGAAGAGGAGGAGGCATGGGGGTAGGAAAGATGGTGGAATGAGATGGATAAGTTAACCTAGGTACATGTAGATTTCCTCAATCGTGTGAACCTACTTTGTGTACAACCAGAGAAGTGAAAAATTGTGCTCCATTTGTGTACAATGAACCGAAGAGCATCCTGCTGTCATGTATAACGATTAGAACAACAACAATAACAAAAAAATGGCTTTTCAAGTATTTTGTTAAGTATAAAATGCTATTAACTACAAATCAGTATTTGGAAAAACAATGTTGAAATATCAGTGACTATCATAAGCACAAAACCATTCAAAGGATCTTCCTTTTGTTGGCTTTACATGTCTGTGGGCTTTATATGTCTGTTTATATCATCACTGTATATCTGCATCTGTTGTCAAGGCAACAACAAAAAGATCAAGTCAGATGTTTGGAGTGTATAACACTTTTATTCTCATTTTCAATTATCTCTTTGAAAATGTAGACGACTACATTTACTGGATTTATCCAATGGGATAAATGAATGAATTTATCATTCCAAATGAATACAGGAAGGGTTCAAGGTTCACTCTCAACCCAGTCTTAAAATATAGCTGCAATTCACTGACAACAGTATTATATAATTCATTCTATACATTTTTTACTCCCTTCCATACTCTTGTCTTTTCTTGTCAACCACTTTCTGTCTTTGATCTTTGCATAACTGATTCTATTCCCTGTATGATCTTGCACTCATGTTTTGCCTAATATGAGAAGCACAAATGAAGTCTCATTGAGACTCTTAGAACTACAGAATAATGAGGTTAAGATCTCACATTTGGGTCTACCAGACCTGGGTTTGAATCACTGTGTGATCATGGGCATGCAAATCAACCAGGCTATCCAAAAAAATTGCTACTAGCCAGATGTAGCTGTTTGAATTTAAACTCTAATTAATTAAAATTAAATAAAATAAAAAATTTAGTCCCTCAG